GAGATTAGCTAGATCTCTTATCCCAATTTTGCACCCTCTGAAAAGAAGTGAAGAGGGAGAGAGGGAAAGGGGCGGGGAGAAATGAAAAATAATATTAATAATAATAATAATAATAATGAGGAACTTTAAAAAAGACTTGTATGATTTTTAATTTACGAACTGTTATTGGTAATTATTCGACATATACGTCATATACCTATTGCGAATCCGTAGAGACACTGGTCGATTACCGGATCCGAGGTGGAGCCGTTATGTCAATTTGCATAATGCATCGATTAAATAAACGGGTTGTGGTCCTGTCCGATGTCGTCGAGTACGGGCTCGAGTCGTGACTGCCGTACACGCGGACACACCGCAAAACAATTATTGACAACCGAATTCTCCATGCCATTCGCGTTTTAGGCCGTGTCAAAATTAATAAGCGCCGTGTCTTCTTTTACTCTTGATGTTGATAACGCTTGTATAGAATTTGTGAACGTTCTGTATATTACGTTAGATCATTATTGATGAGCATAATTGATTCGATCGTTCTCGGACACACGTACATTTTAGTTATTTTCATATTTGAAATACATAATAAATCATTACTTTATATATTAAATACTTTAAAATATTCATACATTTATATTCATTTGATTCTTTCATTGCTGTTAACTTTCATTCGTTTTTATGATTTCAACGAATACATATCGTTTTTGGATTATTATAATATTATATACATAAATTATCCCGTTAATTATCTTCAATAAAAATTGCAAAGCATGATATGGGACGATCTAATCGGTCAATAAATTACATTACCAATCCACCTGTGTTTCAAAATGTTTCATTTAAAAACTTGCGAATTTTCGCTATCTTGTTAAAAAATGATGAATAATTGCATATGCCTGTTGCTGAAAAACAAAGTGTTGCAATATCTTCAGATAAGTATTTGAGGTCAATGTCGATTTTCACCGAAAATCTACTATACAATACGTAATTTTCTCTACGACAAAAATCACAACTAATATCTAATAAATTAATATATAATACTCTGTAGCCTTTTGGTGTCAATATTTAATTACTAACTGGATATTCTGCTAATCACTAATAGTGTATATATATATCAAATATTCGTAACATCGTTACTGTAGTAAAATTAATTATGTGGTAAATATATATGTATCCCCTAAATTCTTGTTTAATAATCATACACGTGCCATCAGAAATTTCATTAAATTATAAACTTGTATAGATAATGTTTGGATATCTTGTATATATAATAAAATTACACATTACTCCTAAATGTAATTAATAATGATTAACAATCAACAATATTGCTTTTTACATCGTTGACCGATTAAAATCATTAAATAAACCTATCAAATTTTAATACAATGCAAAAGAAGGAGTAACAGAAAGGATATTTCTGCTGTTCAAAGTTTCCTTCTCATATCAATATTACTCCTCCAAAATACTTCAATAAATTTACAAGCATATTCTATTCGTAAAAATGAAAAAAATCTTACATTAACTAACATAGTTGCAATGAAAATCTAAGCAAAAGAACATTAATCGATCCTACGAATCGTTATGTCAATTAAAAGCTAATATTATAATATTAACCTTAGAAAAAACGACAAAATTTGATCACGTAACATCACGCGAATCGTAAATAAACATCATAAAGAATGATACATTGTACTAAAGAGCGTGGATTTGTTCATTCTTCGACACTAACCCATTCTTGAAAAAGCAAGGACAAAGCGTAACATGAAAAGCACGATTTTTACCTTTGCCAACGATAAATGAGCGGAGGTTCTGTTAATCCGAGCTCGTTCTATTTTACACATGTTTTTAGATAAACGCTTTCTCTCTCTCTCTCTCTCTCTCTCTCTCTCTCTCTCTCTCTCTCTCTCTCTCTTTTTCTCTCTTTTTCTCTCTTTCACTTTTTTTTCTCTTCTGAAAGTACCCACGCCCTTCCACATTTTTCTTTTTTTCCTTTTTTTTTTACTTCACATCGAGAAGCAACGAGCGACGCGTAAAAATGCTGCCAAGCGACGTATCATATTACGAAAAAGTGCTCGAAAACATTAAACCATAATAACAATCGATATTTCGAGATTAAATCGTTTATCGTTGGGATATTTATTGTGTCGTAGTATCATTCACGTTTATTATAAAGAAATCATCTTGTCGTATATAAATTTAAACATAAAATTAAATGTAAGATTCGTAAAACGTATGCTGTAAGTTAATTACAAGAATTGTACAATTATCTGAGTCAATTAACACAATTTATACGAACTCATACCAATTTCCTAGAAATTCGTTCGAATTGTTGTTTGAATTATTTGGAAACTAATTGTGTTGGAAAATCCACAAAATAGAATGTCAACGATGAAAAACGACAGTACGTTTTAATCTGTCTGGATGTCATTCTTGGGAAAATATTGTTCACAGATTTCTCTCTCTCTCTCTCTCTCTCTCTCTCTCTCTCTCTCTCTCTCTCTCTCTTTCTCCCTTTTCTATATCTATACAATAAATCTATCGAACCGGATTACAAACTTTTCATTACTATTTTTTAACTATTTCGAAAAATACTTCGTTACTTGTAGAAACGTCTAATTTAATCCTTAATATCTAATTTAAAACAGGTCAAACTTTTAAAGCGTTAATAATATTCAAACGTAGAAGATTTCATTGGTGAAACAATAGAGAGAATGAAAAAAAGTTCCGATCAGAAATTAAGATAATCGTAAGAAAGTTAAAAGTCGTTCGTAGAAAGTTGTCGACATACTGAAAACTACTCAATGACAATATACTTGCATACGATGATATATAGATAAAATACGTACATAAGTATAAATATACGTATATACGTATTATTCATTTTCCAAAGTATAAACGAGGATAGAACAGTTATACGTAGTTTAAAGGACTTACTGGGTTCGTCGACGTCGCTGAGGACAACTTCCGCAACGGCAAACCGAGCGAAAACGCTCATCAGTAAAAGCATTCTCCTGAGCATTCTGCGTTGCTATAACTGAATAGACGAATATCTATCTTTATCTCTATCAATCCGCCTGTCTGGCGTTCTCGTTCAAATATCAGTCTCTTTAACGTTCCACAAAGGTATAACTTCTCCCAAAGTACCTGGCTAAGTCGAGTTTCAATGAGTCAGGTCTTCCGATAATCCGAAATTTAGATCCTTTCCCTCTTCCTACTTCGTTATCACTTAAACTAACTCACACACATATAACACATCATAATAATAGGACACGTATCAATACCAACAAAAGGTTTATTCGATTTGACGTAAGAGTTTCTCACGTAAGATAATTATTGTTGATTTCAAACTTAGGAATATTTTCCTGATAAGATTTTCTTGTTTCTTCATTCATGGAACGAGGAAAGGAAAATAAAACTATATATATATATATATATATCTGTCTTTCTTTCTTTCTTACAACAATGTCGTCGTCCTCCCTTTTATTCTCTTCTTCGTTAGAACGATCGTTCATTTTCACCATAAGACGACAGCAACCTGTCTATTTATGCTTCGACGTATCGTCATTGCCGCGACGTTAATGGACTTACTCGATCGAACGATCCTATCCCTTATATAGTATATCCGTACACGCTCGAACGATCGACGACCCTTTATATACATCGGTAAACTTATCATATGCGCCAACGAGTTTCCGTCATCGTCTAACGATAATGACGTAATGGGCCGATTTACGAGCAACCTATAAAAATCGAAAACCAATGGATACTCCTCCTGCAACACCTCGACTGCAAACGAGAGAACGTCATATCGATGCCCTTTCTATACTCGTATATCTTCGTATTATACACGATTTTTATCCCGACATCGATTACATCTCACACACGTACTCTTAAGAGGATATTATCCTTGCACTCTTCAACGACTCCTCTTCCGACGTCTCGCTTCGATCCTTCTTCCGTTTCACTATTTTCCTTTATTTTTCTTTCCTCTTTTCTCAAACCGTTCTAATCTTTCAATCACTTCTGTTCGATCTCAATTATTTATAGAAATCATTTCAATTATATCCAAATAAACTTTCCAACAATCCGTATCGGCGATAATTAACTTCCACTATGCGATAGTATCAACGAAATTATAATATCGTCATTCAATATATATATATTACAATAATAATATTGTTCATTACCAAAAAAAAAAAAAAACGCGAAACAATTTTCGTAAAAACGTTTAAGATCGAGAGATCCTTTTCTTTTTTTATTCTCATTCGAATCGTCCTCTCCTTTATTTTCTATCCACTTATAATCGTACAAAATTGATTGTATTGTTCGGAAAAAAATTCAACACTTGATACGAAATATATAATAATAATAATAATAATAACAACAACAATAATAATAATAATAATAATAATGAAATGAGAAAAAAGAAATAAAATTCGAATGAAGAAAGAGATTCCGAATAGCGTTAAACCCCTGCGCAAGACGGAAGGCGCGCTTACTGCTGCGTTGCGGCAGGCCTACTGACAGGGGCCACCAAGCTTTCGGCTCGGCTCGGCACGAATCGTGCGACTCCGTCGCCCTCCGACGGCCGCTCAAAGTATTCGTCCGATCACTTTTCCTCTACCTCGGCCGGCCATCGAGCCGCGCACCAATACGAACCCACGGATCGTACCTGAACATTACCACCCAACCATAGCCACCTTCTTCGACCCGGACGAACAAACTCTTTTCTTGGCCATCTTACGAAACGATCGGCTACCTGGATAAACGTTCAAAAAAAAAAAAAGAAAAAAAGAAAATAGAAAAAAACACGTTTCTTTTTTACTCTACATTGTTACACTCTCAATATAGATATTTTCTATCTTTAATATATTATGATTTTTCTATATCAAATGTGAATTACTTTTGTGTAGAAATTATTTTCTATTACTATAGCATACATAATAATACAAAAATTAATATGTTTTTAAAAAAATAACTGTATTCTATACGTAGATCGTATAATTTGATTGTTTATTACGTAGATTGTCATCGATAAATTGACAAAATAAGAATTTTATAACACACATATACAATTAAGGTCGATTATGATTCTGTATGATTACAATTATAAATATCATTATAATCTGCTTCATAGTGATAATTTCGCATTTAATATCAATGTTTACTATAAGAGTGTAAGAGTATTATTAATCACAAATGATGGTATAATTCTGTGCATAATACATCAGGATGCGGTAATAGGTGATAATTTAACGTAGATACCACATGTTGGTTGGAGCATCATTGCATCCTGCATATTCAAAGGATACGGTCGCATTGGTGTTTTCTCGCAAACGTCAATTACATAATTGTTAAGAACTGTGATCAGACCTATTTTCATTTGAAGATACGCAAAACGTAGACCTGTAATAAATTGTTATTATTATTTTTCAATAATTTATTACATTAGAACCTCCAGTATTCAACGATTTTACGATAACGTTCTAATATTCTCTATCGAAACGCTCTATTATGCGAACACTATAATATATTTTCCTTCTTGCATCATTTATTATCAAAAGAAATAGTCTCAACGATGCAGTACGTCCTTTGTAAAATTTTTGTTCTTATTACTTTATTATATTTTTTATTATATCTATATATATATGCTCGATTTTAATATTTTCTCATTACTGTATCATTTTTTCTAAATAAAAGTTCACAATCATGATAATAATTAGTATTCTACTATACGAAAATTCCCTCATCCGAACACACACACACACAAACACAGTTATGTTTCCCTATTATTTCGTATACTAGAGATTCTACTATATTATAAATATATATTTATAATACATAATATATAATACATTTATAATCATGCATAATAATATAAATATATTATAGTTCGAATTAATAACAAAAAAATTGTTTAATAAAAAATATTTTCTCTTACCAATACAATTTCTAGGACCATCTCCGAATGGTAGGAAATGCATGGGATGTCTTGATTTCGTAACTTCGTCCGTAAATCTGTCAGGATCGAAAACTTCGGGATCGGGATAAATGTCTGGATCATGTTGGATTCCGTAAATCGGTATGAAAACTTTTGTACCTTTCGAGATCGTAACGTTAGTACCGTTAAACGTATAATCCTTTAATGAGCCTCTAACGAGATACATCACTGGTGGGTATATCCTTAAAGTTTCTGTAATATATAATTATATAATTTTATATATATATATATATTATATGATATATAAAAAAAGATTTTTTGAAAATTTACAAACCTGCAGTACGTGCTAGCAAATTAAAATGGAAATAATGTTTAGTTAACAGGAATTGTTACTTTTCGAGACAAAGAACGAATTTTTGTTTCATAAAAATATTTATAAAATTAATTGTAATAAAAAAAAAAAAAAAAAAAAAAAAAATAAGAAGAAATGTTATTTTCATCATAATTATTATTTTATACGAACGTATGTACCTTCTATAACAGCATGCAAATATTTCATTTCCTTTAAACAATCGTAAGTAATCTTTCCATCGTTCGATTCAAGCACTTCTTTGATCTCTTTTCGAAGTTTCGTTTGTATTGTATGATTCATTGCCAATTCGTACATGGCATTGCATAACGTAGCCGAAGATGTCTCAAATCCAGCAGCAAAGAATACTATAGCTTGGGCAGCAAGAATACCATCAGTGAGTTCTACAAATAATAATCAAATATTTCAATATATTTTTGTATTTACGAATGTGCACGTAAACGCGTGTTTGAATTTAAAAATAAAGAAAAATATATTTATATATGAACAAAAAAATAATAAATAATAAATTTATGAAAACCTTACCAAGATCCCCGAGTCTTTGCAGATCCTTTAGATTCGTCAAAACATCCATAAAATCATGTCTACGAATATTATTTCTTTTTCTATAATCTATCATCTCCGTGGTAATCCGTATGAAAAATTTTTCTACGTCTATATCAACTAATAGTCGGCCAATAATATTGTAAAGCCACGGAGTGTTTCTAACTAATTCTTTGACATAAGTTTTCAAATCATTGCGGAAAATCCTCTTTCCCATTTGACGAAATTCATTGTTATCATCGTTGATAGCGTTAATATTAAGACCGAAAGCACAAGAACCAATGACATCAGTGGTATATCTGGCCATAAGATCTCGACACTCTATTGGCTCGTTTTTTTTAACAATACACTTTAAATGCTTCTCGAAATGTTCGCCACACTCGAGTAACAAGTGAAACATGTTCTTCAACTTTCCGCTTGTAAAGACTTGCGTTAACTTTGTTCTTAACGGTCGCCATTTAGCTGCTCCTATCCTGAAGAGGTGGCCCGTCATGGGTTCGCACTAAAAAAAAAAATAGACAAAAAAGAAAATCCTTTTTCTAGTTTTGAACTTTTAGATTACACATATACATATGCCACATATATATATATATATATATATACGTGAATGATAACCGCAGACAATGATTTAAAATGTTTTTTAATTAATATTTTCAACACTTCATTCACACAAAAAAACATATGTATTTTGTTCATAAAATTATAATCCAAGAGGTTGTTTTTTATCGTTAAATTTACGTAATATATAAATGACAAATATATATCTAATTTTTTTTTATAAACATACAAAAATTTATAAAAGTTGTGCACAAAAGAATTTCACTCCACTTTGTAACTTAAATTCGATGCACTATCGTTATTTGTATTAAAATTATAATCGACAATTTAAAGGTTTACAAAATAAAGTTTAATAGGAATAGAACATATTTGCATTTATCTATGTTTCTGAGTATTTGAGCTAATGAGATATTACATTTCTAGATTGACTCACTTTTTCGTTACAGAAGACCGGTCGTTCAGGAAATATGGAAAAGTCCTTAATAATCACATCTTTTATAAGATCGGGATTGCATAGAACTAATGATGGTATATCCTTTTCAAAAATACCGAACATTTGGTCGTCCTTATATTTATTATACAAATTCTTGAGATATATACTTAAGGATATTTTAGTAAAAATCACATCTTTTATAGTACCAAAAATTATTGTGGGATTTGGTCCTTTTACACCTCGGATTTTCCAATAATCAAATGTCCGATTGAGATAATAATACAAAAATAATAAACTCGCTAATATAAAACATATTACTTCTATACTAAAAACCATTGTGTTTTCGTTTTAATTAATATACGTATACTGTTGAAGTAACGATTCTTTGCTCGATATTACGCTATGGTATCTTTATTTTATCTTGTCTCAAGAAATGCCGATATAGGCGTGACGTAGTTGTTTGTTCGGTGTTGCATGTGTTTTTATATGTTATGCGTCATGATGTTAAAATAATAAAAATAGTAAAATATCGAAATGATTTCAATTAATTATTAATTAAATTCAATAAATTGTTAAAAATATCCGTAAATGCACTGATTTTTTGATGTCTCAAAAATTACTTAACTTCAATAATTATCTTATCATAATGATTCAAAAAGAAATTGCTACATCGCCATACACATTGTATAAATTTACTTGGCATGAAATATACATTATATCTTATCATTATTATTCTTCTTTTTAGGGTTTTGAGGAACTTTCCTATTACAACTTTTATCATCTTTCTGGAGTAAATACTTTATTTGTACTTAGTTCATTCACACTTATTGTGTTCAGCTTATTGCTTGTGTTATTATACGTGATTAATTATTCAAGTGATATGCAGTACAGTGTTTGAATTTATATCTAGTTTTGATGCTAATAACAATTATTACGAAAGAGAAGATTAGATATGTAAACAAAACCCAGTTTTCAAGTAATCGTACGAGAACTAATTTTTTAAAATATTCTCATGGAGAGGAATCTCATGTTAATTAATAAGTCAGATTATAAAAAGAATTTTCTTAATTTAATTACATTAAATATCAATAAGCAATAATCAAATTATAATAAAAGTGTTATATCATCAATCAAAAAATTGGAGATCGGAATATGTCTCTAAATCATATTTTATTCTGTTGATTAATATGTATGTAAAGTTTTCTACTATTCGAGATTCGTAATATTAATAGTAAATATCATGTAATCCTCTAACGAGCTTCTAATATAATTAATATATTTTAATGTATTGTTTAATATTATTTGTATGAGAAAGTTGGAAAAAATTAAAATTTTCTGTTATTAAAAGTCGATTTTGTTATTCAACAATAAGGTTTGTTGTCAAACCTTTTATCTTTAAACTTCCAAATATCTTTTCATAAAGCTACAAAATATATATTAATTGAGTACTTACGTATGGGGTGTTTAAGCACACATACAACACGTTTTTAAGTTCTAATTTAATAATTTTGTTATATATTAGTTGTAGAGTTACTCCTTTGTACTACACCTAGGTTACATTATTATCATAAATTTCAATAAATTAATAAGTACTGTAATTATAATATATACCAAGCGAATATTTCGTACATTTACATTTACATTAGCTTGGTACGTTAAATAATCAAATGATATTATAACCTCAATATTTACATTCAAATAACAAAATGTATACTGATATATCAGAGTTAACAAAACATTCCACCCTTTATCAACAATAAATATTACTTTCAAGTGCTATTTATATACCGATTAATTAACTGTTATTCAACGTTTATATGTAACACCTTTTTAAAAAGATTCTCTATCGATACTCTCAAGTAAAATAATCAAAAAAATAAATATATGAAGACATATATAAAGACAATCGATAAATAAATAAACATTTGAAATTTCGATTATTTGATTGTATAGTAGATAACAATGGAAAAATAAAAGTAGAAGAAGAGAAGAAGAAGAAGAGAAGAAGAAGAAGAATAAAGAATAAAGAAGAAAGAAAAAGGATCGACAAAAGAATTTCACGAAAAAATATAAAAAAAAAAAAAAAGCATTTAAACGGGTAAGCGAGAATAAAAGAGTTGTGTGTATCACGGTATGGACTAAAGGTGAACTCCAACCCATTTTCCTCGAGAATTGTTCGCCGTGAATGAACGAGGCAACGTCGTCCTTCATTAGCCTGTACCGGAAATGGAGTTTTTCCTACTTTCCGGTCCGTCAATAAGACGCGTTCGAGTCTGGCTCTTCTAGCAACGTAAAAAAAACGTGCAAAGCGTGTGAATAGCATTTCCGACGGAACCTGGAAACGGGCTAACAAAAATGTCACAGTCATTCTTCTGCCTTAATTATCCGTCACGGAAACGGTCGCGTCCGTAGAGAACCACGATGCCGCAGTACCACAACCGTTAGAAAACCTCGAGATGGTATCTTGTATTCTTTAATCATTCGTTCCTCTCAATTCGTGAATTAAATTTTTCATATTGTTTTTTTCTTTTTTTTCACATTCTCTAATTTTATTTTTATACATTATGATGATTATATTTAAATCATTTATTTCACGATTTTCGAAATATCATCGAAATGAAATAAAACAGGATGGAAAATAATATCTTAATTATATTCTAATCCAATTAATTGTTATATAGATATATGAATTTTGTAATAGATATAAATTTAGTTTTTTTTATACTATCAATCTAATATACGATAAAATTAAGGAGAAGAAAAATTTTATATTATTCTATATTCAAGCTACATAAATATAAGAAAAATAGAAACAAATTATTACATAAATTTTTTCGAAAATCGTTAAGAAATTATGTTAATAGAAAGACAAATACATATCGACTGAAAGCAAATTAACGTCGTTAATATTCAAATTAAAAAAAAACTTATAGTCTCCGGATGGAAAAAAATCAGGAAAGTTATCCGTAGGCATAGTGAAACAATCGACATCTAAAAATATCTGAAATATTAAAAAATGGCGTAAGTTAATAAATAAATCGTGATAAACCTTCAAATATATTAAATTAATCACATCGATTCAAAAGATTCAGAATAATAATAAATCATTATACCGGTTTTATAGGACATTCCATGGGTATCTTCAACATTTGCAAAACTGGACCAATAAAGCTGGTATCGTTTGTCATTTGGCACGTAGTCATTTCAATTTCAATACCAGTTGGTTCAGTAGGCTCACCATTAACCATTCCATATAGATCACACTTTAACTAAAACACGTTAAACAACAGCACACGTTCAAATATGTACTTAAATATAAATTATTGTATACATTCAAATAATATACATAACTATTATAAGTACAAATTTCGTAAACTTGCTTATGCTGTATAAACGCGCGCGCGCGTACACACACACACACAAACACATTTATAGGTATATAAATTAAGTTTACTAATAAATTTAGTAATTAAAATTCACCATACGAAGTGAACTTGTTCTTATAATTATTCAAATTATACATCGATATTCTTACAGAAATTTGATAAATTTGAACACTTATCCAATGCTTATTTAAATATTCTTACAATTGTTTCCATAGGTATTTCTTTCAAAATATCGCATTTAAATTTAATTCTGGGTAGCATTTCGTCGTTATCGCAAGCATCTATTTTACAATTCTGAAAATATTCCTCATCAGCTTGTAAATCGATGCTATCGATGATAATTTGCAAATCGCTCTGCAAACAAAAAAAATTGAATAATGATTAATCTTTATGACTTATTTGTTTTTTCGAAGAAAAAACAAACCATTCTCATTAAGATTATTGTGTTTATTTTAGACATAGCCTGTCTTACGTGGTATTATGTATATAAAAAATATTGTAATAAAGGTGCAAGGAAGATAGTATGACAAAATTGAACAATGAAGATAATAAGATATAAGGATTGAAAACGGAAGGAAATAGAAATTAGTAAGAAATAAGCCATTAGTAAGAAAATAAATAAGAAGAGTACCTACCGAAATACAATTATGTAAGCATCATTATGAAATAAAATGAAGATCATAATTCAGTGCATTTATTGTGAGTTACGTAATTATGTGTTAGACTTTGTTTATTAGAATTTTCTTCTTTAAATATATCAGAAATGGAATATTATCGAACATTTTTGAAATAAAAAATCTTAAAAAATATTTAAACACATAAATAATTGTATTTTTGTTATATTTCCAATTGATTATATATATTGTATATGTATACTCATATTTTTCTAATATTTTCCCTATATTTTTTAAAGAAAAAAATATTCAAGTAATCTATTAAAACAAGATAAATGTTTTACCTGTGCTAATCCTGATCGAAGTGTACACAACCCAATCAATAAAAGTAACACTTGCCAACCCATCATTACACTTGTTATGCCTGTTTCATCACAACTACTGAAATTCATACTATCACAGTTCATTATATCATCGGTTATTTTATTACAAAAAAAAAAAAAGACACGAAACGTTGATTCACGTTAATGCGATAGGATCATGCTCATTGTTGTCACCGGTTGATCATTAATAATTGTTCTTACGTGTATACGTAACGCATAGCAATATTGACACCTCTATGAAAACCAGTAATTATTAATTTATGAAGATCATTATTAAAAGCAGACCACTAAGGCCGAACAAGAAAATTAATTGTTCCTGAAATAATAAACAACATTTGTAGCATGAGTAAGAGTAAAAGAAAAAAGTTTCACATAGTTAAACAAAAAATATAATCGAAAAATGCAATATTATATAACACACACGTTACATGATATCTCGTAAATATAAAAAATATAAATTTGTAGCATGTAACACGAATAAAGAGAACACTAATTAATATTATTAAAGAAAAAAATAAAATCAAATAAGTCCGTTCTAAACTAATGAAACAATATAACTTTATATAATTTCTTGTTCATAATAAATTAATGAATAATGAAATAATAATGAATATTCCATCGAAAGTTACAATTTACTTAAGTTTTCATTTTATTGAAGAAAAAAAAAAAAGAATCAAATCTCAGTCGTCTTAATTATTTTTTAATTCTACTTTTAATAATGAATCATTGAATATTCTTTCAAGTATATATAAGTACTTATCCTTAATATTATTAAAAGGTACAACATAGAATTGAATAAGATCCGTTCTAATCACTTTTTAATATCTATTAAAAATAATTCAATGAATATAATAATATCCTCGACACGGTTAATTAAAATAATAATGAATACACTTTCGAGTATTACAAACAATTTTTCTTCAATAAACTTACTCTCTCTCTCCAACTTATTTTAATAAAATAAAATTCGTTCTATAAATTATATTACAGCGAGCACATAAGTAACTTTGAACAATATTTATTTTGTTCGAATCTTTCTTTTTTTTTTTTTTACCTTCCAATAAATGAAAGAGTAGGAAAAAAAATCGATAAGCAAGCAATCGTTGAATTTTTTTCGCGAAAGTAAGTTTAAAATGAACGTTTGATCAGCGCAAATTAACGAAACCGGTGTCGGAGCTGGGGCCAGAGCCGGGGCCCGGTTTTTCAACACAGCCTTTTGCATTTAATCCTGAATCTTTCCTTGTTATCACGCTCACTGTCATGGCGTGCCGCTGTATCGCGAAGAACGCTAGAACCGCACCGAATACCACCCCATCGACTGTTAACATTGGCATTCGCCCAGTGCACTCACAAAGAGGTGCATAACGTGACCTGTTTTCATTACCCTCGACTATCCGGCTTTTGCCGCTTACAAAAGCTCGCACGAGCGAACCTGGAACGAGGGACGTAACTACGAGTGCATCAAGTTAGTAGTGTAACTCCAGGAAAAAGTGGGAGAGAGAGAGAGAGAGAGAAATGAAAAGATAAGTTAAGGTAATGTTATGAAAAGGCGACATTGAAGTTTGTTATAACTATGACTACCCTGTTTGATATCCCACAGTGTGTTCTTTTACAAGTAACAAGGAACATCGAAGAAAAGGATCAACTTGGTATTAGGTGTTTGCAAAAGTTCGTTGATATTGCAAATAAGTATAAATTACTTAAGTTTCATACCGTTCTTTTACCATTTTTGATTTCTTTTTTTATAAAAAACTGAAATTTATAAAAAGGTCTCTAATTTTTTATGATCTTAAAATTTATTTACGGCATATTTAAATAATCACATTTATGTTTTAAATAATACGCGCGAGCTTAAAATTTATCTACGGTATATTAAATAACACGTAACCTCGATTTTTTTTTTCTAGGTAAGAATGAAACTTAATAAAGTATCATACAACACTCATTACAATCTACGCAACTGTATGCTTTTTTATCTCACATAGGAAATAAAAATATGGACATAGGTATATACATTATTTTACGTTAAGAAAATAGATCATTTATAAAAGTTCTTCGGATTACTTGTATACGCTAAATTATGTATTTCTCTAATTATAAGTTTTCAGTTACTAACATTTTTCTTCATTAACATTTTTGCATTCATTGCCCTCTGTAATGTTTTTGTTTTCAGTCTTTCGATTTATTTCTATTATGTTTAACATAAGTCTTTTTTCAACACATTTAAACCCGAAAATAGTTTAATGTACGTGTACTCTATAAAATTTCCAAAAAACACAATTTTTTACGAAAACAAAGCTTCAAGCGAATAAAATTTTACTCCATTTTTTGACTTATTTTTATTATACAGGTAGAATCACACCCCTGTATAATCACCATCCGAATAAATATCTTTTACAGATAGTAATGAAAACCAATTGTGTGAATATGTATAAATCTACCAAGAAATTACTATTGTTTTAGTCATATCTAATGTAAAAGTTAACTTTATTTATGAAACATATATATATTTTGTTTATTCTATTATAAATTATCATAAATAAATGAGGATTTGATTAAGGAAATAAGATAATAATAAAATTGGTATTCGTAATCGGGAAAATTATCGAATGAAAATTTCATGAGGATGGTTTTGATTTCAGATTGATTGAACCGTCAGTTAAATTAATCCCAGTAACAATACATTTAACATTTGATCCATGCATGTATTTCAATTATATTTTGACTCTTTGTCAGTCAGCTTCCAATTGCACAAAACGATGAGAAGCATCGTCAATGAACCTACTACCACTCATCTATCCAGTCTCGTATCCATCTACATCCAACCACCAAAGTCCCATGCAATTGAATTAATCGCGATCGAATCTCGCGTAGTCTCCTCTTTCGAAAGTGAAAGCCACAGTCGCATGAACCACTAAATCAAACTTCCCTAATCGCTTTTTCCCTAATCTTTGCAATACTATTTGGCAAAATAAGAGAATGAGAAAGAGAGAGAAAGAAAGAAATAGATATTTTTAATAATATTTTATATTCACGTACGTATTAAATCGAAACCGTCTAATGACTAATACCAAATAGCTCATATCCTATTGGAAAGATCTTTTACATAATATTCATGGTATTTTAACAAAATATACCTTGTATGATTAGATTTAAATAGTTGAAAAGAAAAAGTGTGGTAGTAACATTTTGTTAAAATGAAACTTTTTAAACGACGATAATGAAACGACATGAAAAGAGAGAGAAAGAAAGAGAAAGAACATAAAGTTGATTGACAGTTGAACGAAATTCTGAAATTTGGATATTATTGATCTGATATTTGATTAATTTTCAACTCAAAGTCATCACTAGCCAGAGAGGAACGTTAAAACAATTCAAAATACTAGTAGAGTACAATACTGTGTTCGATTTATCTTAAAATGATTGTTAATTAATAGAAGGAAATGTATATTGTAGTTTAAAAATACCGAGAATAAATTCGACGTTCCGTCCTCTTCGAAATCCAACAGTAAACTAATTCATTGTCCTCTATGTAAGTCAGTTAAAATTTTGTTTATTGGTTATAGTTCATACGACTTTCCGAAGACTAAATATATATATAACGTAAGTAATATGTATAGTAAATAGAATAGAAACTATAATATATTTTTTTTAACGCTCTTGTCCAGTGATGAATTCCAGTTGAAAATTTTCATCTAATAAAATATCAGATCGAAATTGTTTAATATTTCAAATATATTAATATGTCATTTTTAAACATATGTACTTTGTATTGTTCTTACTTTGGTATTAAATTGAATCTGATATTAAAAAACAATTTAATAATAGTAAAAACAAAGGATGTTCAATTGTTAAACTTAAAAAACCTCTCTTCTCTTATTATATTAACATATACGAATGTAAGGTACGGGTGTTTCCTGTACATTATTTTCGTTAATAGTGTGTAATATGCACGAACAATCTTATTTTTTCATCATTTTAAATTATTTTCAAATTAAAAAAAAGGAAATATTTTCAAAATAAATTGAACGGCAAATTATTCATTCGATAAATTTAATACAATGTAAGATAATGTTTATTTTTTCACAAAAAAGAAAAAAAGAAACGTGTAAATCATTTCGACGCGTAACTTTTCTCACGTATAGTGCATAAAAAAATACGTCATTGTTAATATTTCAAAAGATGATCATGATATTTATTTAATCGATATTATATGAGTGATTACAGAAACACGAATATTAATAACAATGAATTGAATTCGAATAGACTTTAATTCGATAACTTCTCTTGATTCGAGATTACGAAGCCGTCGTCCATAGTAAGTTGAAGAGCCAAATTTCGCTTTCTCTCCAAATTCATTTCGTCAGATATTCTTATAAGATTCGCCTGTTCGAAACGAAGAGCATTCTTTAATTCCTGCAGTTTCCAAGATGCTTCCATTTGTTTCTCGGCTATTTGCCTTTGCAACGCAGCAATTCTTTTGTTCAAAACATCGTAATCTTCTTGAGAAGGACTTCGTCCAGGACAAGGAACGGTAAAAACAGGATCGAAACTTGGTCTATCGTTATCGTCTCGAACCATACTCGACGTAAGTAAACAAATTTTATCGTGAAGATCTGCCATTTGTGTTAGTGTCAATGACTGAAGACAAAAATTGCATTGTTTTTTTTATTTATACAAGTATACTTATTAGACTTTTCTTATCTTCTTTTTTTTTGTATAATTAATTTTAATATATATGAGTTTCACAGGGAAAATTGAAGACAGTTAATAAATTTTGATGAACAAATTTATTAACTGTCTTCAATTTTCCCTTTGAAACTCATATATATTAATATACTGTTGGGACAAGAATATTGATTATTAATTAATTATAATATAATAATATATTTTATTTATAATTAATCCTCTATTATAATTCAATTGTTTTTTAATATTTAAATTTATATATATATATATATACTTATATAATTTTCTGATATTTATAATATTTATACTAATATACAAAACATCAAATATGAAATGACAATTATGTTCGTTGCAATAGAATGAAATAAAATAATAAACTACACAGATATATCTATGAATATGTGATTAATCTCAAAAGTACATAACACGTGTTATGGAGGATTAAATATTTAATAATAATAATTTTTAATTTATAGGACAACGTGTGTGCGATACTAACTTTTAACCAAACATCAGAATCGAACGAATCAAGTGGTTCTTTTTCTTCGGGAATGTCTTCTTCCATGAATTTCTAAACGATTATTATAATAAGTTTTCATTATGTAACATTGAAACAACAAAAGCATAAAAATTTACAGGAGAGAACGATGCATATCGCGTAATAATAGATATTTCTCAACTGCACGTTATTATTACGGCTTGATGGCTACACATCAGCGTCAGAGAGTGCCAAGCGCTTGGATCTGCACGAACTAATTAATAACTGTAATTACACGATTTGTGTCCCGCTCATGGTAACGTTAAACGTCATTCCGTAAACAAAGCTCCTGGTGCCATGCTATAAGAAAGGATATGCAAACGCGTTACCCGCTGGTAGAAAATTAAAGGGTATCAAACTGACTGATTTACAACATCAAATATTAATAAATGTATATCGAATTCTCACAAAATCAAAATGTAAATTTATATGTATATACGGGGTGATAAATAAAATGGTCAAATATTTTATTGGCTTATATTACTTATCAAATGAAGTTAAAATTATCTAATTAACATTTATCCTAAAATCAACTCTTTCTATTATAGATATATAAATAAACTTTAATTACTTATAAACATTCTCTCTCGATATCGTGAGTCATTTGTTAATATATTGAAACACTTATACAATATCTAACGTTTATAAATAATTAAAATTTTTTTTTCATCGAAAGGGTTGATTTTAGGAACCATATTAACGAGACATTTTTTTAATCCTCTTGATAAATATTATGTCTTTAAAAAATTTGAATTCTTTTTTTTTTGCCACCCTGTATATAAATGATAAAATTCCAATATTTGTTTATCACGAGGCAAATAAACAGACGCAAATGTAGCAGTAAACATTACATTACACTACATATAATGCATAGTTTAAAGATTTTTATATTGGAATTTTAAGTAACGCATTTGCTCAAAAAACTGAAGCTTTTGCAAACGCGTGCAAAAAAAACAATAGCTAAGGATAATTTAAAATTTTCCTTTAACAATATCAAAGTTTCGTTAGAAAACGTTGGCAAACGTTTAAATAAGTATTTACATTACCTAGCTAGAAAAATTGCCAATTAAATTTATCGAGGTTTCACTAACCTTCTTCAAATTTTCGTCCTCCTCTCTCATAGGTTTCCGTAGATCATCCAATTCTTGTATCTCGATTTCAACACGATAAATATTATCGGATAGTTCATGGAAAATCGGCAGCAATATATCGAAAGGCGAAAGTAATCTTCGAACGAAATCATCATCCTCTTCAAAAGTTGAAGCCATTTTCGGCTTCTCTTCTATTTTACCAGTTAAAAACATCACGTAATTTCGTACACGACTCAAACCTATTCAAATAAATCGATTTACATATACAAACAACTGATTTTCTACATGATTATCATAGCTAAATTGCTTATCATTGTTTCACAAGATAATAAATTTATAAAAGCTTATAATAAATTTATATGTTCTTCTTTTAATAAAAGATAAAAAAAAAATGTAATATAATACAATACACAAATAACTTATATAATTAAGAACGCGAAATTGCTATATATGTTGAAATTCAATTGGATGCAATTACAGTAATTGAAATTCGAATTCGAAATCGTGACTTTACAACTGCTATAGATCGACATTATTTCCTGAAAGTTGTATGTGTGCATCTATCGTTTCCAACTTCGTAAAGCCACAGACTTATTCAAAAGCATCAAACTCTTCGCCAATTAAAAGTTTCAAATACTTTGTGATCATTATTTCTCCGCTCGTTAAAATTCTTACATGCCAGAAAAATATCTGTACGAATTTTCGAACGCATCTTACCGTCGTTTTGTTGTTTTATTTTTCTCATCATCGCTTCGATCACTTCGATTATAAAATCACTATCATCCGAAAGCGTTGATTTATCTTCTCTTACTAAACATTGAAATGTTCAAAATTCTTATAAGAATTAATACAAATAGAGAGAAAATAACATTAATAACAAACCTGGTACAGGTAAGACTTTTTTCAGGCCAAAGTTAATCTTTTTGATATCATCTAATTGAAGCTTCGACTCGATGTTCTCTAATTTCAATCGATCTATCTCTTTTTTCGAAGCTTCTGAATCATCCGTCATTTTAGTTTTCAATTGACGATAATTTGTGTCCAATGCTTGGAGATCAGTACGTGTCTTATTAATATCTTTCTTCAAACTTTCGTTTTCCGATTTTAATTTTTCTCTGTCCTCTTGGCACCGGGATAATTCTTTCTCCAATTCTCGTAGAGTTTCAATATCCTTTAACGAGACATCCCTCATCTTGTTACACTCTGCAAGTTCTCTCTTCAAGCCATCGATTTGTGTTGCAAAAAGATCTCTTTGATGCTGCAAATCTTCGATCATTTTATCCACCTTAGATTTTTCCGCCGATAAGTCAGAAATTTCCTTTTTCATTGATCCTATCTTCGATTCCGCATCCTCGAGAGATTTTTTCAATCTCTCACCGTCCGATTTTAAATCTGCTTCTTTCTTACGTAAATTTTCGAGCAGTTTATTCGCATCGTCCGCTTGGATTTTCAATTTGTCCATTTCAGTTTGCAATTTTCCCGTTTCTACGCGTAATCTTGCCAATTCCTCTTTCAATGCGGCCAATTCTTCCTTGCAAGCGTTACAATCTCTTATTGCTGCTTCTTTAATATTTATTTCAGTATTCAATTGTTTTTCGAGATTATCAATTTTTGCCCTTAAATTCGTCAACTCGTCGAGAAGATTAAATTTTTCTTCTTCCAACTTTGATACCTTCTCTTCTACATTCTTCAATTTATTCATCGTATCCGATAGCATTTTTTCATCAGTCTCTAATTGTTTTAACAACTTTTCCTTCTCTTCTCTAAGCTTCCTCAACTCTCCCATTATTTCAAGATTTTCTTTTTGACAAGAAGATAAGTCTGTTTTGAGTTTATCAACGTTAGATCTTTCTGCAGCTAACTCAGACTTCAGTTTATCGATTTCGATCAGTTGCCCATCTCCCTGGCCCCTAAGTTTACCGTAATCTTCTTGAAGCTTCTGCTGGCCGACCTTTAGGTTGTCATTCTCGCTTTGCAAGCTCGCCAAATCCGTTTCTAACTTAGCTGCTTCTCTCGAGAATTTCTCCGTTTCGTCCTTCAATCTCTCAACTTCCCCTTTCATCGAAGTATTCTCAGTTCTCAATGCTAAGATCTCAGCTTTCTGCTTCTCTATTTCAGAATCGGCCGATGTCAATCGTTGCAAGGTGTTTGCTAAAGAACCTTTCAGATCTTTGTTCTCCTCTCTGAGTCTCAATAATTCAGCCTTCAATGCTGATAACTCATCCTTCAAACTGATATTCTCGTTTTTCATTACGTTGAGGTCTTTTAAGACTTCTTCTTTCAATGATTTGTCGAGTTCATGAGACTTTTCCAAATGATCTAATTGATATAATATATCTTCGTTGTGTTTCTCAAGTTTCAAATTGTCTTGCTCCAATTGAGAAACTCGTTGTTCCAATAACTTTTTAGATACCTAAAATACAATCAAAATCTATAAACATCTTTGAATAATCATTTAAATGATAAAAATCGTTACCTGACATTCGACAGACTCTTTCATAGCTTTCTCTAAATCTTTCTTCAATTTATCAACGCTTAAACCGGTTTTACAACTTTCCGTTTTCCAATGCTCAATTTCTTCTTCTAATTTGAAAATCTGATTATCGAGATCAACTATTCGAGCTTTTAACGTATCCATTTCCTTAATCAATTCTAAATTTTCGTTCTTCACGTTTGACAAGTCATCGCCAAACTTTAACAGCGTTTTCTTTAATTCTTCTTTCTCCTCTTTGAGAGATTCATTTTCTTTTTTCAATTCGTCGATCTTAACCAGCAAATTTTTCAACTCATTCTTAAGAGTCATTAATTCTTTCTCAGCGTTGTTTCTTGCCAATTTCTCAATGTCCAATTCGGCTAATGTATCGTCGAGCTTTGCTTTTAACGTATCCGATTCTTTTTTAAGAGTCACGTTTCCAGACCTCAAATTTTCTAGTTCGGGCTTGAGCCGAGCATTCTCGTCATTTTGCATTTTCAAGCGTTCATTTTCATCTTTAAGTTTATCCAACTCCTCTATCATCTTATCAAGTGCGTCCTTCACCGCTATACTCTCGTTCTTTATCTTCTCAGCATCCGCCTTTGCTCGTTCACTCTCTTCCTTCGATGCATTATTTATAGACTCCAACTCGTTTATCCTACCTCTCAAACTATTATTTTCCTCTTTACATTTATTCAACGCCTCGAGTACGCCATCGAACTCTTCTATTTTTTTCTTCAGTGACTCGTTTTCACCCATTAATTTATCGTTCTTTTCGTTAAGTTTCGCCAGTTCCTCGCGTAACATTACATTGTCCTTTTCAGCCTTCTCTTTCTGAGCCTTCGTTGATACAAGTTCACTTTCCAAACGTTTAACTTCTTCCAAAGCTTTTTCTTTATCATTTTTCTCCATATGTAATTCTTTCAATTGTTCATTAAAATTGAAATTTTCTTTACGTAAATTTTCCATCTCCGTTCCTATCGCATCGAGTTTATTATTGAGATCATTTTTCAATTTTTCTTCATCGGCAAGCCGCTTCTTCAATTCATCGGTTTCGATCTTCATAGCGTCTAACTTAGAAATGATATCATTTCTTTCATCTTTTAAATTCTTTAAGTTATTTCTTAACGTAGCCAATTCGTCTTCCAAATCTTTGATTATCTTCGAAGATTCCTCGTTAAGTATACGTTGCTCTTCTAAATCTTCCGTTAAATCTCGAAATCGGGTTAGTTCATTTTCAAGATCGGCGATATATTTCTTCAAGCTAGTTTCATCCAATAATTTTGCATCCAATTTTTCTTGCAAATCACCCAACTTCGTTATATAATCCTTCTCTGATTTTTCTTTCGATTCGAGGATCTTGATAATCTGGTCATTTCTTTCGGTAACGATCTCACGTATCTTTGCTAATTCTTCCAAAAGATTATCTTTCTCAACTTCGAGATTGTACAATTGAGGCTTAACATCTTCTATTTCTTTTTGCAACTTATTCATATCTGTAAAAAAAAAAAAGAAAACAGAAATAAAATAAATTAGGGTTAAAATGATAAACTTTGTATATGAAACAAACAATGAAATAATTATTAACGATTCGTACCTTGCAAACTAATCGTCGATTGTCTAAGTTCATGAGTGAGATCATATATCTGACAAAAATAATATTCTATTTGTTATATTTAATCTCATAAAATATACACAAGGTGTGATAAAAATATAAAGAAAAAATAAAATAAAATTACAAATTAAAATAACACCAAGAAAGGATTATCGTAGAGTCTTACTTTTTCGTCTTTTCTTTGAAGTTCCGCCTTTGCCGCAACTATTTCTTCCATCAAAGTCTTGTAGCTTACAGAAATCTTATCAAGATCCGATGCAATAGCGGTAGAAGAACTCTTCTCTCTGTCTAATTCTTTCCTTAAAGACTCGAGGGTAGCATTCTTTTCGTCTACCTGATCTTTCATATATTTCATAGCTTCTTCGCAATCTTTCAATTTTTTTTCGAGATTCAGTAACTTGTTCTGAGGTGATTCTTGGATAGCTTCTACGTTATCGTTGAAATTTTATTATTATTGACTAATCATTTTATTTATATTATATATTATATTAAATTATATATAAGATATACCTGAGGTACCTTGTTATATTTCTCGCCTAAGGTTTGATAATTATTGAAGTCGCCATCCAAAAAAGACATACGCGAAAAAGTATTCAAATATTGTTTTCAAAAGGACAACCAAACTATATTTAATCCTCAGGTAACCTTATATTACATTTACAATTGCTTAATACAATCTTTTTCTTTACGCAAACAGTAGATAAATTTTAAATATAAAATCGAATTGCTTTTCGGATCGAAAGGAAAAGAAATATTGTTCCTTTTTATTCGAAAGAAAAAAATAGTCTAAAGACAAAAAGTATGAGATTGATTCGTTGAAAAGAATGAAAAATCAATCAATAGATATCTTACTTCTATACGTTATAGGATCACTGGAAAGATTTTTCAGATATTCATCGATCTCTTCCGAACTCATACCAAGATCTTCCAATAAACGGTAAAGTCGTTCGTTATCTAACTTCAATTTCTCGCAGCCATTCGAAAGATCAAGCATCGTATCCATAGACTTTTCGACGACATCCGCGACCTGCTGATCCGCTTCTTCGCCATTCTTCATCAATTCTCGTAATTTTGCTCTTAGACGATTCAAAGCTGCACAAGAAGTATCATCTTCCGCTTCGGCCAGCTTCAATCGCAGTTTGCTTATCATTTCTTTGAATCTGTTACGAAATTTATTTCAAAACACCTATTCCTATCTTATATATAATGATAATAATAATAATAAAATATTAATATATAAGCCATTCATACAAAGTAATTTATTTCATTTTGAAAATTAGGAAAAATCTTAATATCAATTCATTCGATAGATGATAAACTTTTTATACTAAAAGTAAATGTGTTCTTAATAATATAATTTTAACACACAATTAAATGACAAAAATTAATACGACCATTAAATGATAAACGATACGACAATGTAATTAATTGTTTCAATTTTCTCTATTTTTTGTTTTGCGAAGTTAATCAATTTGACAAATCGAATAACTCATATATTATAATAATGTAATATAACAATATTTATTATTATATACAATAAAATCAGCGAAAGATTTAACATTTCATTAATACAAATGTTAAAGAATCAACATAATTAATTTAACAATATAAATTACTGTTTCTTTTCAGCAAGGAAACGTTCTTTCAACGTTTTCATCTTCTCCCTGACATATATAACCTCCTCTTCAGGATCTTCCCAACACTCACGTTCGGCAAAACTCTCCTCGAGATCCTTCAGCTTTTCCTCGAGCTCTTCATTTGCATTTTGTAATCTTTCGTTCTCTTGGCGATAATGTACGATCAGAGGATCGGGTTTTAACGCTACGTTCGTGTCAACACCTACAAAGCGTTGGAAATGTAAAATCAGCCTTTCCCTCCCCAACCCCCCGAATAAATATAACATTAAGATACAAATATATATCTATAAGATATCTATATATAGATATATTTTTGTTCAACACAGCAGCACTCAAGATATATTGGTACCGAATGATTGTAGGGCTTGTTTCAGAGACCTAGTTTCGCTTTCGAGCTGAAGTCTCTCCATCCGCCATTTCTTCGTTTGACAGCGCATCGCTGCTAGCTTTTTAAGGGCAAACGAAAGATCACGAATCTCCGAGTCCTTCGAATTATCATTGAAAGGATCATAAGTGCAGCAACAGCATGGCTCGCTCGGTGAATGTAAAATATAACGAGACTGTAATGCATCGCATCCACACGGACAAACGCCTAGTTTTGCCATACTTTTCTAATTGAAAAAAAAAAAAAAAAGAAAAATTAAGGGAATGGAAAAAAATGGGAAAACGTAAAAAAAAAAAATTGGAGAAATAAAAGTGTAAATATGAGAAAAAGTTTTCTAGGTTACCATCCTGATACTTACGATATTTTTTTTCTTTTCTTTTCTTTTTTTTATTTCTCTTACTACAAACAGTCTTACTCTACACACCCTGATGCGAGTAAAGTCGCACGAAAATTTTAAGTTATCATGAAGAAAGCCTCCTCCTCCTCCTCCTTCTAACACTCGTCGCTGCGAAACTATGTCAGAGCATGAGAGTAATTTTTTTCAATAGAAACTTAACGTTAGATGCTATCGATCTCTCAAAGTCAACCAAAGATATTATCCTTTTATTATCGATTAACAATATCGATACATCGATAACCTCAATAAATTTATTGTTAGATAGAAAATATCATAACCCACTTTTTCATAAGCATTCATAGATTCTTTTAATACGATCTAATCATAAATATATATTGACCTTTCAGAATAATTATTTTTATATTTATAATATTAAATACTTGTGTAAAGATAATATAAAGTAAATCTCTTGATATAACAATTAAAATAATTCTATATTTATTTCATCTAAGAAATGTATATTTACCATATAATAACTATATCAAAATAAAATTGTAAATAATCGATTGTCTCTCATCTCTAAATTATTCAATCGAAAGTATAATTAAATCTACAATTATATTAATTCATAATCAATCTAATATAATCTTGCAAAAAATACTCTATAATAAATGTCATCAGATGTACGTAAAAATAATGTGATACCTTCATATTAATTATTTGGATTAAATCGTGTAAAGAATCATAAAACGTTTCATTCTTGAAGAACAAAATTCCATATCGGAAAAGGCGCGATTAAAAAAGCTTGAAAAGTTTCTCGCTTTGGAGTCTAAGGTAACCCCCCCCCGTCCTCCTCCCCCCCGTGCTTTTTCATCTCCCTCTTGAAAAATCCTACTAACAGTTCTCGAGAACGTAACTTTCCTCATTTCTCTAAGGAAAGAATTATATCGACGTTTGCGACACAGTGACTTCGCGTTAAATTTTCTTCGTTTCATTGAACTCGCTCCTTTTCGCAATTTCTCGTTATACTATCGTCTATCTTATAACGCGATCCGATATCGAGTAACTTGGAAAACGATACCCTCGTTTTTTTTACTTTAGAGAGCTTCGAGAGTACTTTGAGCCACGTCCGGCTACATCGAAGATTTTATCGACGAGAGGAGTACATTATCAATTAAATTTTATCGATAATTACAAACACCGAGAGAAAATGTCATTGACTTAATAACATGTAGACATTAATAATATATTATATTATACGAACTCTAACGGTGTCATCTAATCATTCTGATCAAGTTACACTGAAAATAAGACTTTTCTCAATTACATTTCTCTTTGAAAACGTCGAGCCAAAATTACGAATATTTTATGCCTTATTATTATTATTATTATACTTTAAATTAATTGAAAATAATTTTATAAAGGAAAAAAGAAACAAGTTTCTCTAAACAAAAAAAATAACAAAGCTGTCTTCAATATTACACCACTGAAAATGTTTCAACTACCAACATTGAAGTATCGAAATTTAATATTTCTTCTCTTTCAGTTTAGTCTATTCAGAAACTAATGTGGTCATGTGTACAATTAATTTATTTAATATTATATGTACAAAGATTTCAGTGCAATCGATTTTGTTGGTCTTTCTTGTTTATACTTGCATAAGCTGGAAAAAGTTGTTCTGTCTTCAAAACTATATAAAAATCAATCGATAAATGCAAAACATCTTAATTTTTTCACAATTTTTAACAAGAATGATCCTTTAAATATATAATAATAATCGATCGATTATCATTGACTATCGTTAAACAACAAGATGTAATAAGATCGATTAATCGAATTTTGTTTTAACATATTCTGAACGTAACTTCAGATATTTTTATCAAAATCACCGGTTCTTAGGTAAAAAAAAAGAAAAGGGGTAAGTATATAAATTTTCTTTAGTAAAAGAGAATGGTGTCATTTTAGGACAATCAATTTTATTTATAACATTCTAACAGTTAGAAATTAACGTCAACGTCAAAGAAATGCGAAGTATCTCTGATATAATCGAGATCGTTCACTTCTCTAATCTCCCAAAACGTTAATCTTACAAGTGTCTAACATGGGAAAGGAAGAGAACCTAAAAAGTAATTAACTGTAACTACCACTTAACCCTATCGATTTTAATTCGGATAAGGAAAATCAATTCGTGATATACGATAGTATTAGTGCACTTTTTTTTTGGTTTTTTTTGAAAAGTCATTAAAGTCAAGTAAATGAGAATTTATTGTGAACAATAAAAGATAAAAGATTGAAGCATTGGAGCTTTAATTTTCAAATATATTAATATTATTAATAATAATAATAATAAAAACCTCGTCGAAATGATCACGCGAGATTTATGAAGAAAATCATAGAAAAGTAAAATAAAGTAAAATTCATAGAAATGTCTAAGCAACTGAAAAGAACGACTGGCAAAAGTGAGAACAGCTTCGAAATGAAAATAAATAATCTAAGAAACGTGTTAGCCGAAGCTGAGGACGATATAATGCGAGGTACTGCCTACAAATTGCAAGATAATATCGTTAGAATAAGAGAAAAATTTGCGTGTGAGAAAAAACGTTTTAATAATGAAATTCAACGATTGAAAAGACGAGTTAAAGAAGCCGAAGAAAAACGATGGTATAGTAACGATCAAATTCAGATTATAGGCCAATTAAAATCGAAATTAAAAGAATTTGTAAACGGCGATCATACGATGGAAATAATTATTAAACATATCGTAGAAAGAATGGCTACGACTGTACCAAATCTTTCGGAGGAATTGGTGAACGCTAATGAGGACCTTTACAAATCGAATTGCGAGAACGCACAATTGCGTTACGAAATCGATAAAATCAAAGCAATGTTACGAATACAGATCGGCAATCCCAACAATTATCGTAAAAGAATAATCGAGTTTAAAACTATCTTGCGAGGATTGAAAAAAAACGTATGTTTTATGAAACAAAATCTCGACGATAGTTCTTGTAATGATACTTTCGATTTTGAGAATTATATCAAAGCTATTAATAAGATCGATATGACGATTAACGAATTGAGGAACAAACTGAAAAACGATCGACGTGCTCTTATAACTACTGGCAATCCTGATTGTTTCCGTTACTTAACGAAGATCGTCGAAGTTCGATTGATTTTAAAACAGTTGCACGAGGAATTGGAAAATTCTTTAACTCTAACAGAGAAATATAAAGACGATGAAAATGAGAAAACTAAAAAAGGTTACGTTGAAAGGGTTGAAATTTTGGAGAAAATAATCGAACAAACGAATATCGAACTTGCTTCCTTAAAAATCGAGCCTGTAGCTAATTGTAAATTCGGTGGTACCAGTTGTCTCGAATACTTGAAAAAAGTAACAGCGTTGAATGAGACACTGAAAAAATACAAAGAAAAGATCAACGAATTATATAAGAATTTAAATGAAGATAACTCACGAACGTCTCGTTCTATGACGCTCGAAGAATTGAGAAAACTCATCAACGAATTGTATTATCAATCGAGAGATTTAGAAAGTGTCGTTTATTCTGGCAACGAGACGAAATTGTTCGGAAGAATCGAAGAATTGGAAGAATTGTTGGTCAAGTCAAAAATCGAATTGTCGAATAAAACGGAAGGCATGAGTGTATTAGAGAATAAACTCGAATTCGGTAAAAAGGAATTGGAGGAAACGAGAGAGAAAAACACGAAGCTTAGCAAGGAAATCGACAAATTCGAAAAGGATTCGAGAAATCGATTGGAAGAGATGCGACGAATGAAAGCCGAGTTGAATAGCTTGACAACACAGTTGCAGGTAACGATTCTTCATTAACTTATAAATATAATATATATTACACACATCGTATAAAAATTATTCATTATATTCATCTTATTACAGAGTCTTCGAAACGATAAAAAGAATTTGTTCACGGAAACGGAAAAAATAAATAAACAGTTGATGGAAAGGAACGAAGAATTATCTAAGATTCGTGCTACGAAATTAAAATTAGAGAAAAGTCTGGAAACAACGTCGAAACAATTAAACGAAGAATCGAAGAAGTCAATGAAAATGTCGGAGAGAGAAAGTTCTCGTGGACAATTACAAAGTGAATTGAATGAAATGAAATCTATGATAAATGATTTGAAAAAGGAGCTCGATCTTGCAAATATTGAAAATAAAAGATTTGAGCTTGACGTTATACGTTTAACTTCTGAAAACGAAATACTGAGAGAACGATCGAGTATCGTGGAAAAGACTCGTGAGGAATACGAATTGTTGTTGTCTAAACAGGCAACGCTAGAAAGTAAAGTTGATCGTTACGATAAAGAAAATAACAAACTTAAGGCTGAGATCTTGGAGTTAGAAGCCGAAGGGAAGACAGTTAAAACAACGATGGACGAATTGAATAAGAAAAATAACTCGCTTTTGGAGCAAGTGGCAAAATTCCAAATAATTCAATCGTCGTTGGAGGAGGAAGCGAACAATTGGAAAAAACGCTCGAACGAGTTTGCAAGTGTGCTTGAACGAACCAACGAGAAGCTAAGAGATCTTCGAACAGAAAATTTAACGCTCAGCGACGATTTAAGTGGTTTGACTATGAAGAATAACGAAACGGAAGCTCTACTACGCGTTATCTCGACGGAAAAGAATCACCTGATGACGCGTACGAAGGAACTCAATGAGAAAAACTTCTCATTGAAGGATTGCCTGAATAAAACGAGAACCGAACGAGAATATCTTTCCGTCGAATTGAATAAATCAAAAATCGAATTTGACGAAACGAAATCGAACAATTCCGATCTTAAGAGAACAATCGATGAATTGCAAGGAAAGTACAATGAAATGAAAAACGAATATAGAATACTTGATAATCGTGCGAGAAATTTGCGAATTAGCAACGAAGCTTTGCGTTCGGAGAACGATGAATTGAAGGCTCGTTCAAACGAGTTCCTCAAACGACTACAAAATTTGGAATTTAACGATGAAGACGATATTGGATTTTACGAAAACGAAGAGACAGAGAACAGAAAAGCGATGGAATTTGAAAGATCTACTGATAAAGTCAAGATCAAGGGCAAATCAAAGAAGAAAAACGATACGAAAAAATTAAAGGTTGCAAACGAAAGTTTGAAATTTCAATTGACTAATTTAAAAACTGAAAATATGGAAATCAAACTCGAATTGGCACGAATTAAAGACAATTTAAGTATAGACAAACAGTCAAATCAATTAGAAATTACCGAATTTCGAAACGTTTATATGAAAAGTCTAAAGAACGAAACGTGGTCACCACGAACCGAACAAAATTCTCGACAAATTGTATTGTCAAACGAAACAAATAACGAAACTCTGAACTCTGATCTGGAATTAAGAGAAAAGTTTGATACATTGACTAACATACTCTCGAAAATGAGGATTGTCAATGGCGCTTTGAAAACTGAAATAGATATTTTGCGAGATAGCATGCACGCTGCGATCACCGATAAAGAGAAAACTGTTAGTGAGCTTCACCGAGCTTTCGATGAACTGAAAGCTCTTAAAGTCGAATTGATAAAGCTCAGGAACGAGAAACAAACGCTCGGGATACGATTGGACGAAGCTAGACAAGAAGTGGATAACTTAAAAATAGAAAAAATCGCTTTGAAAGACGAACTCACGCTCCTCAGAAAAGCGAACTCTGATCTTAGAACGAAAATTGGCGATTTACAGAATTCTTATGTGAAACTTAAAACTTTAGACTCGAAATTGGAAAGTAAATTGGTAGGAACGTTGAAGAACGTAAGTAAATACACCGTCTCGGTTGACAATTCACACGAATTTGAAAACTTACTAAATGGTATTCTGAAGGATTACACGTCGATGAAAGAATCGTTGGGTATCGTCAATTTTAAATTCGATGATTGTAAATTCGCTCAAGGAGAAAGTAATAATTTTTCGAAAGCAAATTAACGTAGCGTGAATTATTAAATTTATGAAATAAATCAAAATGACGGGTATAATAGAAGTAAATTATTTTATTTTAAAATATCAAATATTGTGATAAACCGAAAAATACTTTCCAAATCATTTTTGTAGAAAATTCAAAATCAACAAATTAAATAGTATATATTACGTATGTTGATATAATTTCAAATGATAACCAAAATTAAGACTTATTTAATGATGTGAAATAATTTGCCACAATTTGAAGTAAGAAACATTCATAAAAAAATGATATGATACATAAATAATGAAATAATTATAATAATCAACTGATTTATAATTTCAACGTAAAGATATGGATTAACATTTCAAATGATATTTCAGATATGTATGTATGTATATAAATATAAACGTTATGGGGAATTATATAATTTAGATTTTCTTGCACCGGTGACTCTCGAAATGAGAAAATTAACAGTAAAATGCGTTAATAATGGCAGAATGACCAAGAAGATATCGTCCACGAGCTGGTAATATATTAATCGCTTTAAAACATCCCAGGGTCGTTGCGGAGACGTTATCACGTTCCACTAAAATTCTACCGCGAGATTATTTCGACAAAAAGACGAAGCTCGCTCGCTCGCTTTGCGACATAGTTCCTGCCCATCTATCATTTCTCTATAGGATAGAAAGCGAGAACAGAAGCAGAGAACGGCAACGACGAGACGTGCTGAAAATGCTTTTCAAACGTAATTCCGTTACATCCTTGACCACATTTTCCTTACGATCTTCGAGTCACGACATTAAATCTTCCAAAAAATATTCGGTTTCTATTCTATAATACATTAACGATACTCGTTAAGTATCATAAGATACTATCAAAGATTCTATAGTATTTTACAATAATATTGATTTTTTTTTTAGTTTAAGTCATACAAATAATTTCAATACTTTCACACAAATTTATTAATAATCTAAAAACAAAGAAAATCCATAAAACACGATATACGTAATATCATATATTTTTCATTTGTCAAAATTAGATCAGAGTAGCTGACATTATTTTTCATACTAACAACAAGATAATAATCTTCCTCTATATTGATCACTCTCATATAATATTATTAAAATAATTAAATGATTTCAATACAAATTAACTAATTATTTGGAAAACATAAAAGAATTTATAAAACGATATACATAATGCATATATTTTTTGTTCGTCATTTTAAACTGATACAATTTATGAAAATATGGTTTCAATATTAAAAACGATGAATTACATGAACTCATACATCTCGTATAAACGACAAAGAGAAGGGTTTACGGATACACGTGCATGTAGATGAAGCGAATAGATAAGTAGATAGCAGTATACACGATGGTAAATACGTGTACGTAAACGTCTACATATAAGATGTCTATGTATACATATAAGTTGGAAGGACATGCCTTCGGCGTGGCTTGGCCAAAGTTATTACAAGGCGGATCCTGCGGATGGGAAACGTCACGCAACTGGTTGCTTTGACATTCCTCCTACGATGTCATCTGGTAAACGACAGACATCTGTGTTGACCTCTCATCATACACGGTCCTTCAGTATTGATCGATGGAACATTTTTAAAATCTTGTTAATTAATCTAATATTATATTATTGACAATTATTTCTATCTTGATTAAATTAATCGATCGATAAAATGATAATCTTAACTGATAATGCTTATACGAGTTATTTTAAAATAATTGTTCCTATTTTCCCAGATATAACGAAAGATATGTAATTAAACACTTTTTCGTAATAAAATCAGGTATTACATTATATCAATCGTTAATGATATACATATTGATATAGAAAAAAAAGTTAATTGCTAGTATTATTGTTGCTTTTAAAAATTTCGGATAACACGTCGTTCAATCGTACCAGATTATATATCGTGTATCAACAATTAAAGCTTCATTGTTTATTAGGATCAATTTTGTATCATTGTTTTAATAACATTTCCATAAAATATTTCATTAATAAATAGCTATTAAAATAGAATAAAAAAATTATATTTCACGTTGAAATTGTTTCAAGTCCTAGTTTTTCTCATATCTTATAATCTCAATAAGGAAACTTTTGTTTTCACGACATTATATTTTATTACGAAAAAGAACTTTAATTGCACATCCTCTATTAGATCCGAAAATTAAGAATCATTATTCTTGAAATATTCTGTATAGACTGTGTTCTAAGTAGGATAAACGTATCAAACGTATCGAAATTAATTTGAAAATCTGTAAAATGATCGATTTTGTATAAAACGACTTTTTCCAAAACGTTTTTTTTTTTTTTCACGATCTCGAAATGGATTTCGATCTAATGTTTCGCAGACGAGAAAAAGATTCGGAATCACGTTACGATTTGTACGTGAGTAATCCCCTCGCAGAATGAATATTGCCGAAAAATTGAAATCGGATAGAAGTTCCTACATCCTTCTATATATGTACTTTTTTATTTGCCAGAACGAATAAAATTCTCCGCTTTCAAGAGGTAAAAGTACATTAATCGTTGAAACGTCATCCGATTCGAATCATTTTCGTTTTTTTTCCAAAGCAGTACTCGTTTCGAAAAGGCAAAAAAATATGCGGAAGAAAAAATAGTTAGTCGATGTAAACCAAATCAATTCGCATGCAAATATTCCCGCCATTCTACAATTGTGCTCCTTCTAAATCAACTCGCTGATTATTTTACGGTTTTCAAAATTTGAATAAACCCAATCTACGTTTTCGTAAAGTTAAAATAATTCCTAATTATTAACTGTATTTATTTGTTTATTATAATTATTTAAAATAACTAACTATATTGCACGCAACTCTTTATTTCTTCGTCGATAACAATGTTTAAAAATTTCATCCATCTATCGATAAAATAAAAATGTGTAAGCGTCCAATAATAAGCAAAATTCATAAAGTCAAAATTAATTTATGATTACTTTGTAATCAAAAATGTTGCATATCTTTAGACGTAATAATGAATACTCGCGCGTGGATAATTAATTATATAATATTAAATAAGTACGTCTACTTCTTATTATATAAATCATGATGAGAAAAAAAACACCTGTTATGGTCATCAATTGACAAGCTACTATCGCTACAAGCACCAACGCAACGTAATCGAATGTAAAAGCGTGTAGAGAAAGTTTCTAAAAAAGTTGAAGCATAAAAAAGACATCGATTAAAGGACAATGGATATTTTTACACCCTTCTCATTCTCTCTCTCTCTCACACACACACACACACTCTCTGAAATCCTCTGTTTCTCGCTTCTCACGTTTAATGTCCGATAGTATTGTCCCTATCTACTTTAATAAACATACTAGAGTGACCCCATACTTTATCGTGGGCAAGGGAGGCGTATTTCCGGCAGAAAACGAGTTAACACCGCGAACGTATTCTCCGTGATATTAAGGGAGAGAAAGGGCTATAGGAACGAAACGGGCTACTAATTAGCAAAGCTCGAGATGACAGTGGAAATCTTCCTGAGCACGTTTACGCACATAGTAGTTGGCAACTGGCGTGTATCAAAGGTCGAATAGAGCCGGATGGGTTGATGTTCGTCGGATACGACGGCAAGTAGCCAAACTTCCTACTCCGAAATTGCATTAACCTGAATAACGAAGATACAAATAGAGATAGTTAAAGAGATTGTAAGAGAAAGATATAGATATAGAAACGGAAACTTAACAATACAAACTGACGTCTTATTCTCTTTGATATATTATCAAATCATCCGAAACAAATAACAGGAAACTTAACAAAATTTGATCTCGATTGTTTGAACCAAACATCATTAATGCTAAAGGTAATATAATTCTAATGTGACGTCCTTAACCATCCTCCATTTTCCTCCTCCAATGAGCTATGAATAGCTCCAAGCCAAGAGTTTCATCCTAAGATAAAATCGATCCGAAGAAGTTTTTTTTTCGTTGATCCTATGCTCTTTCTTTCCATACTTACTATGTGAAATTATGTAAAACGCGAAGCATATAATAATGATGTATGTGGGATTTATTCAGTTCATTTTTTTCATTATATCTTTGTATCCTTGCCACGAGTCATATAGCTCTATATAATATCTTCCCTCATAAAAAGTATTGTACAACGTTCATATTACGTGAAATTTTTATAAAATAATACAAAATGATAAATACTTTTTTATAGACTATTTATAATTGATGATAATATCATATATTCATATATTCCTTTATTCAAATCTCAAAATAACATCTTCGATGGTAAAAGCATTGTGATCATAAAAAGAAAAGAAAAATTACAAAACATTAGAAACTTGTACAAATATAGAATTATTTTGTATAAGTAAATAATACAAGATAGCTGTTATGAAATGTCAGAAATTTGTTTGGTCGTAAATTATCGTTAGACTTGAAAAATGTTCTCCTTTTACATTAGAAAATAAAAAATTACTCGAAATGGTGAAAATCGCGAAGGCAGATGGATTTCTCCACGCGATCCACGTGCCGTGGCTAAGGCTAACCGAGCTTTAATTGCAGCGAATCGCCGTAATTACAGAATGCTTGCGCAAACCCTTTTTCCACCCTTCCCGGCTACGTGGCGCGCAAGTTTCCGTGCAACGGCGAACGCAACCCCCAAAATGAGAGAGGGGGAAAAGAGTTCGAGAGAAATAGAAAGAGAAAGAGAAACAAAATGATAAAGGGCGTTCACCCTTTTCGTTCTTGATCCGAACGAAGCGAGTGGAACTCTAACAAAACGAATCTCGATTGCGTGGCGCTTTTATTCAGCCGAACAAAAGTTGCGAGAGGGATAACAATGTACGAACCAGCACTACCTACTCCAAAAACTAAACAAAAAGATAAATCATTTTGAAATAAATTAAATTAAATTACACGAATTCTCTCTCGATGTTTAAATGTAAATAAATGGAAAACCAACGCGAATCGGATCATGTTAAAATTATATTTTTAGTTTCATTCTATCTTCATTATATTATTGTGTTGTTTAAACTGTTTATTTTCGTTTCCCTTTATTTTACTTCCTACGATTACCATTTTTTTTTGTAGCTTTGGGAAAAAAATTCCTACTGAATGACACGCCCATTCATTCAGATCAACAGGATATTTTGGTATCTACGTACTATATACTTTATACGTAATCCAATGGACGTTGACGTAACAGCTTTAAGTTTATGCTAATAGTTTATCGAGCGTAACATCTATACTTAGCATGATATATCAGTCTTATCACAAATTTATTCGATCTACCACACACTCTCTTTACTTTATAAAAAGGAATGAATTTAGAATTCTCATATAAATAATTTAATATTAACAATTAATAGCATCGAAAATTAACTTATGTATGTGTGCAATTAATTTGATGAAAAATTCAATTTAAATCTATAATATATAGAATAAGATTTATAAAATAGAAGAAAACTAAATACACATTTTATCTTTGATATCATTTGCGTTTAATAACTTTCACTACAAAGCACTTAATGCATATTCAAAATACATATACCAGCATAATTATTTCATAAATCTCAATCCATCCTCCATCGAGTATCTTATAGATCTGTTATTCATTTTGAAAATTTGTACTCCTGCGCCAGGTTTTCTGTAATAATATATAAATATTGAATAAATATATGAATAATATATAATTTTAAAAAGATATATATATGTAACGAAAAATTCTACCAATTAGACGTTTCAAAATGTATTAATTTAATGAAATTAATCGAATTTTTACAATTATACTTACATATATATATAAATTACAAAGAACTCACGTAATTACGAAGTTGCTGTCTAGTTTGTGACAAACGATCGGCGTTCACATTTTCAGCATCGTTTTTTAAAACTTGGGAATTTCTGTTCACGTTAGGATCTGTAGTTTCGTTGCGCGAGATCGTACTACCGGCATTCAAAATAGTATATTCCTGTTCACCAGGATTCACTGTGACTACATTCGCGTAAACTTCAGCGGATTCATCATTTTTCCAAACTTGAAGGAGCGTTTCAGAATTATAAAATGGATACACAGCATAAACAAACGTCAAGGGTATCGAACTAGATTGTTCGTACGACGTAGACTCGCATGATACCCCAAAAATGAGAACGAATAAACAGAATGTTACCTGCATTAAAAAAAAAAAAAATTGTCTTCAACTATGCTATTACAGGTTTAAAGAAAAATAGAAAAATATAACTTACGATTACCTGGGTATTCATCTTGCTGACACTACTTTTCATTAACTGACATTCAACAGAGTTATTTCCATTATATACTGTGCCGACTGTCAAGGAATGCAGACTAGAAACTCACTCAGATGGATTATCTTTATCAAGTTACAATGCTAACTACCAAAGCTCTTTCCAAGGATTATAAGAAATTTATCTACATTCATTATTAAATGCACAATAAGACAATGAAGGAATTAAAATATGTAACGATACAAAAATGATATTTTATAAATATTAATTTACTGGCAATTTAAATACAGATAAAAATAATTTTATTTATATATACATATACATATATATATATATAATAATAATAATTACGTTTCTTATACTTTATAAAATAACAATTTATCTTTCAACAATTTCCAGAGGTATTACATTACATCCCATTAAACCTTTGCCAATCCAAGGACGTGGTATTAAAGTCAGGGCAAAGATATTTGATCCACGCTTAAGTTTTATATCTAAAGACTTATACCTACTGTGCTCAACTAATGTTGCGATATCCTTTAAGGATTTAAAATTTTTATAATTAATAGAACCAAACTCAATGATCAAATCATTGACTTGAATCCCCTAAAATGAAAAAATATACCATAAACCATATTTCTACAGTATGTTTACACTAATATAATTAATGTTGCTTTTTCTAAATTCCTATTTATTCAGCTTTTTTTTTTAAAGTTGTATCATTATAACTTACTGCTAGTTCAGCTGGAGAAGAAGGAGAGACTAAATTTACTCTCAAAAAAGGTTCTGATGAAAATGGTTCAACGATATCGCTGGTGGTTGAAGCCTCCTGCGCTTGATTCCCAGATAGAGAATGTACTTTATGTAAACCCGCTTCTATTTTTGTCATCAATGCTTTGTGATCATTTGTAAGGCCTAAAAAGGAACCAAAGAGACCGATATAAAAAAAATGATAAAATTGCATAACCGATGACAATATTTTGAAATATTTGACATACATATTATCCGATTCCTTGCATGTCTAACTTGATAGACATCAATATCCTGTCTTGGATACCCCTCAGAATCTACCAGAGCATCATTCATACCCACATTGTTCTAAAATATATAATTCATTTATTTAGGAATATGACAGATCATCCTGCATGAAGTACAAGTTTTTTTTACACAAGAATATATTGTCATTGGAGAAAGAGATTTGTTATAATAAAATAATAATAATTTAATGTGATACATACATTATCCAATATATCTTTAAACATACGTATGTCTAATTCGATTTTATCTTTATCCTTCATAAGCTGAAGAACCGCATCTTTTGCTTCTTGGAGTTCCATGTCGACCACCATTTTTATTTTTTCTTTTATTTTCATCAACCCTCAAATTATCAACCGTTGGTAAACGTTCACGCGCATGTTCATTTAAACCAAAGAATATATAGAAGTGCACACGTATATTTATCGTTTATGTTTTCAATTCACTGTTGGTAAAAAGTTAATATCAGAAACATCTTGAAGATGTCAGAACGTGTACTGAACACAGAACACTACTCCAGTTTGCGAATATTATAACACAAAGTAAGAAGGTATTGTGCGAATCCGCGGGAGATCGATAGCGCGTGCGAATTGTGTTTCTGTGCGAATTCTGGTCGAGTTCCTTTACTCAAATACTTGATTAGAGAGATTTAATATTTTTTCTAAAGAAAAGAAAGATATTCGACGCGAGAACGTTTGTTTTTCTCGCGATTCCGCAAGCGAACATTTTTTTTTTAAATCTATAACGAGGAATAACAACTTCATGGAACATTTCGCTTTCAATCGTTGCGATTAAGAAAAACAAATCGTCCTTCACTCAAGGGTGAATTTCAGCCATATTGCGATAATAAAAGTGATCGTTTAAATCAATTAGTTTTTCTTATTTCGTATTTCTTCACAGTATAAAATCCTGGTCAAGAAATCGTTTAATGAAAACAATGCAGAATTGAACGATATGTGGATCACCGCAACTAAGTGAGTATCTGACATTATAATTGACACTTGATATTATTGTCTCTCACGTATTGGCCTTAACTTTATTTGCTCTCTTTCTTCTTTCTAAATAATAAATATAAACATTTATCACACTCACAAGGTCATGCTCCGTGCTAAATAGTCTTCCGGTTATTGATTTGTATCGATAGATATGTTATATTATATTTTCCTTACGAAGGACAATTTAAAACTTAATTTTTCTTATTTCTGTATCATTTAATGTACGTCGAAATACATTACTTATTTTCTCCATACAAAAATCAGTAATATACATTGATAGTTTGATTTTTCAAAAGATTTTCATTTTCGCGTTACGTTAAATGTTAAAAGGAATACGTGTAAAACAATTTTATTAGAATTTACATCATTTTAAACGCCGCATGATTTTTTCGTTGACAATACAACGATCGCGCATTTCTATCGATTTTTTGTTTATATTTAAAAAAGTATACAAAAGTATGTGTTTTTTTTTTTTAAATTAAAATCCAACAACAAATGAAAATCATTGATCAAAGTCTTTCAGCGATTTATAAGTGATCTAGATATCATGGACATCGCATGCACTTTCAAACTTACAAATTGAAATATCGATTTATGTTCCGTCACTTGAGAGGGGAGGTATAGCAGGTGGTAAAACACGTGGTATGCGTAGAAAAGTTGCACCAGTCTCTTCTTTCGGGCATATCTCATTTCGTACTTCCTTTCCCTCTCTTCTATCCCTTTTTTCTCACGTTTCTTACCCGTTCTTGTCCCTTTAGAAGCGATAAAAAGAAAGAAATCAAGTAACTATTTGCTTCTATACTGGATCGATAAATTGATCAAAAACGAACTTTTCATGTTCCTTCACAAAATTCACATGATTCGCGTATGACAAAAATTATAATATTAATATATTAAACTAAATATATAAATAAATATTTACGCGTGTTGTAAAATCATCGTATTTATTACGCGTACACATATAACATGAGACGCATATAAAATTACACACACGTAAGGGGATACGAGACGATTAAATTCGTGCCCTAACCTCCTCGTAGGTCTTTTCTTTATTACTCGTCAATTTCGTCCATTCACCGGCGATTTAATAATAACAGGATAGGTTTAAATTTCCGCGCCCTTGTGTCTCTTCGCAAATGCAGGCATAATTAAAAAAATTTGAAAATCGAAAAATTTTCCTCATCTACTTATCCTGAAAAATTATTGAAAATATTTCACTCATTCATGCACCTCCAAAAAATATTTATTCGACGATATCAATAATGTCAAGAAATGCACTAATAATGTTTTATACAATACAATTTGCCATTACATCTCTACAATTTTATTTAAAACATTTAAATGAATGAAAATCAATAAATAAAATACAGCAATATCTTTTTCATGAAAATTTGTAAGGATATCAATCGTCGTGCCCATTATTGAGAAGGACGTGAGACTTTTCGTTCGACATCTTCCTCAACCCTGCGTAATATTATCAATCAATATATTGTTAAGCACCATACTAAAATCGGTATTATTTCAAATGAAATATTGAGTAAACATTAGAAGCTAATAAATTAACAACTTAATTCTTATTATTAGGATGGAAAATTTAGGGGATTATATGAATCTCTTCTATATTACATCAGCCTTTTAGTATGAAATATATTTTATTTTATTCTAAAAAGTATTTCTCTAAAAAGTAAAGGTAGTTACGTTTTTAATCTTAGGTGAAATTTAGGTGAATTTAAAATCACCTAAGATGACTATCTCAATATACATATATCGAGATTATCGAGAGAAAGCGTGTGGAAATTTGAATCCTTAAACCAAATATCGAGAAGGAGACTTCTAACGCTTCCACTTATCAATATTAAGTTGCCCGCTGGGAGATACACGTATGACGTCAGCCAGTGGTCCCGCATGGCAACTGCCAGCGAAGAAACTGAGACACAAGGACAAATACAACCCACTATACACGCTTCTGGGTGTATGAGCACGTGGCAAGCGTTCCGAGACTTCGCGAGTTCGACAACGAAATGACGTGACGCATAATGGTCCCAAATCCCGAAAACGCAGGGTGCATATGAAGATGTGGTTTCATTTTGTTGAAAATTGCTATTTAAGGATTTTTCGGGTCGCTGATTACGAATCTAAAATTATTTTTTTTTTTTAAACGTAACAGAAACTCAAAATTAAAGATAATTTTAATTAAAAACAAAATTTGTTTATTGTTGAAATTTTAATATTTGAAAAGGGCTTCCTTTTATAGAATTATCTATTTATTACCTCATATTACATTCATTTGTAATAATATTTATTTGTAATTACACGTACCACGATTGTGTATTACCGTGCAAAATCTTGGATAAAAGTTAAAAGGGGACAGATGCTAATTTGTAGATATTTTATTCAGATAAAGGTTCAATTAACAATTTAAACTAAATTATAGCACGGGCACTCGTAAGATTTGTAACTTCATCCTTGTATGAAAAAATATTTCTAATATCATATTCGCGAAAAACAGGTTGCGATATAGTCTCACTTAGCAACTACATTTCTTATTTATGCACATTTCTATAAATATAAATTAATTATACTTATCATCAAGCAAAGAGAGATCTCATATTTATACGTTAAAGAGACCGTAATTTTCAGGGTGCAGCGAGTCTCAAATGCGATGCATTCGACGCTCACGTTTTAATTGATAATTTACAGGTGTGCATAAACATCCATAACAAATGGTTGATAAAGATGCTTCAGAATCCGGTAAACATATTTCACAGGTCAAAATTTCTCAGGAAGAAACTTTTTTTTTGGAAATTGCACGCGTTCTCTTTCGTATACTCTTCCAAACAGCACGACTTACATTTTGTCAGAAAAGCGCGTGAGCGACGAATAACTCGTGTCAAATAAAAAAAAGACGCAGATAGATAGAGAGAAGAAAAAAGAAAACAAATAAAGAGAGAGAGAGAGAGATGAAATATGTTCGTTCGGTCTTCCAGGCCAGCTGTCTACTGTTTGTCTCTTCCTTGACAGATACGCGGCAACTCGCATGCTTCGTTTTTTCTTTTTTTTTTTTATCTCGAATCGGAAGTCCAGTTTCTATACGAAAGGTTCGAGGTCATTGATATATTTAATGACTTTTTTGTAATAATTGCTTATCACTTATATTTTGTTTTTTTTCTAGCGTAATTTTCGTTGAGAATAAATACGCTGCCATTTTTTTACTAGTAAATACACAGTCACTTTGGCACATACACACAAGTTTTTGTCTCGTGATAAAAAGAAGATTGCATTACTTTATTTATATTATTATTTTCTATATATCTCTTATCCATGCATAAAACTTTATGTCAAAGGTTTCTTTTATCTTCGTAACAGTTCATAAAGCATTGACTTAGCAATTAACACTAGATTGCCTAAGGAAGTCATTTTGACTTCTTTTTAATTTCAATTAGAAAAGACAGTTATGTATATAATGACACAATTTCACAGAATTTTGTAACTTTTTGTACAATATATAAATGCGTTTATTAATAATTGTAGTTACCTCCCCTCTCCTTCATTTCCTGTATATATATGTGTTATATCTATATTGCCCAAAAGCAGTCATTTTGATTGCTTAAGAAATTTGAAATAATCAAATGACTTTTATTATTGAATTAAGTAAATTACTTATATGACCAGTTCGGCTCTGTATCGAAATAACAGTACATGATAAATTGTCAATTTGGGCGTATATTTGATAAGTTGCAGTTGCCCAATAAGTATTAGTATGTTCGAGGACAAGTTACAGCGCACAGCCGGGCAACGGAGTGGGGATAGCAGCGTCTCGGTATATGGGGATTCAAAATGTATAAATAATAATGAATAAATTATTTTTTTTCCTAGTGAAGTAAATTTTTTTCTTTGTTAATATTTATTAATAACTTATTATATAACTCTTTAAATAATATAAATAATAATAAAAATTAATTTTAAACAAATTTCTTTACACATTAGTAATTCTTTTACAATGCAGTTATTTTGACTGTTTTTGGGCAATACAGGTATATACTAAATTTCAGTTTTTCTAGTATTAACAAAAACTAACATCTGCTGGAGAATTTTAACATTTTTAGACGATGTTCCTTAAGATTCATTTCTATCCATAAAATTCAAGCATATCAAAGCGCTTTTTTATATTATATTATATGTATATATAATAATAATAATAATGTTAATAATAATCTGTATCGGAGAGGAACTATCAATTTGATTATATTGCAATTGTACATTTTCAATGCAATTATCATTACTGATAGCTTCCTTACTCAAAAAAAATGATCGAGCATATATTTGAAAGTGTGAATAAAAGATCGAAGATGGTGTTTCTCTCATGTCAGTTATAGGATTCTCTCAGTTAAGGGATACGAACAAACGGTACGAGATTCCTGTCCTTAATGGATGGGAATCCAAGAGGCGGTTCTCCTCTTATGTACCACCGTGAAAAACCTGTCTGTACCACGAAATGACCTGCATGCAACCCACAGCGCATCACTCCATCGTGTCCATCGAACAGAGAGCTATGAGATATCTCCAGTTTGGTTCACATGCAACTCGACATGTGAATATCGCCACGAGATCCATTATCATTCCAATTATCATTCGTTCGACACATATCTCATGTGGTTACATATATTTATATATATATATATATATATATATATTATGTGTACAAGTATAACATTAATCAATTATTAATGATTAATTATTTTAAAATTTGATACGACATATTTTTATATAGCAGATTAATTTCGTAACAAGTTTTATTTCATTTGCTCTAATAAATTACATAAATCCTTAATACACATATTCAATAAATCTTAAACTTGAAAAATATCCAATTACAGTACATAAATGCTTTTTACGATGATGATCATAAGACCCAACACCGAAAATCATCTAGATCTAGCATAAGAATTGGGAAATATCCGAACGATTGATTGTACTTCATAATTATTTGTTAAATAAAACAATTTTTCTATTGATAAATAGATTTAAGTATACCAAGTTTCGAGAATTCGATTTCTCCGAAAGCAAGAACAAAATTGCGAAGCTTTGCAACTCTCTCTGACCCCTTCCTCTTATTTCTTCTTCTTCATCTTCTTCTTCTTCTTCTCCTCATCGCGTTCCTTTTCTTCTTCCGCATCGTCTCTTCGTCTTCTTCATTTCCTCCCTCTATCTCTTTCTATCTTTTTCTCTTCCCCCGTTCCATCCCTCTCCCTTTTTTCTTGTTCCTTCACTTTTTGGATCTTTTTGGTATCTCTTCTTCTTTTTCTTATTTTGTTCTTTTCTTACACAATTGTACCTTCCAACGCGAGAAACTGACTACAGTTCGTTTCACAAATCTCTATCTTTTTTTATTTCTTCATTCTATCCTTCTTCTCCCTTTGTTTTTATTCCCGCGCTTTTTAACCCATTTTTGGTATTTCTTCTTCTGTTTTTTTTTTGTATTACACAATTATACCTACTAACACGAGGAATGAATTAAGTTTGTTTCACAAATGTAACGACAAGAAAAATATTCAAGTTGGGAAAGACACGCATTTCCTTTTTTTCGTTCTCGCCTACAAATAAGGTTGCGTCATTTAATGAGAAGAACGTATCGTCTAATACTGAACACATCAAAACGATAAAGGGCATCCATCTTACACCTGTGTGGATTACAATCGAGCTTGACACAGCGGAAGTCACACCCTTCTCATATAAAGTAGTTCGTAAATGCATATAATGTTTGGTATTTAGGAGTACCATATATGTACTTATATATGTTTTATATGTATGTGTTTACTTATGAACGCGCAATCTGCTTTATTGATTTTGATATGAATAAAGGAGTATCGAATAAAAATGACTTCTCATGTTTGTTTTTTTTTTATTATAAAGATGATATATCATCGATATCAAATACAACGAAGATAAGGCTTCGTGTCAAATACTCTCGTCAATATAATTTCAATTACTAACAATAATATTTTGAGATTGCTTTTGGAAAAATTTATTTAGAAATGTTATCGATATAATATAACTAAATAAATAAAAAATAATCATCGAACTATAGGTACTATTCAATATAACAATATAAATTGACTCTTTCTAATTCGTTTTCATTCAGATTTTTAGGTAAATCTAATCTCATTCAAAATTATATTATGATATGCAATATAAGCTTATGAGTGAACATTTTTTTCTTTGAAAGATATTTCATCAAAAGATTCATCTATTTTAGATATATTCTAAACATAAACAATACTTAAAATTCATTTAAACGAAATGTATCCACGTTAGAAAGATTAATCGTGCTGTATATCAATTTTTATTTGTTTTTTTTCGAGTGACCAATGTTTCGGATCAAAATAATATTTTGATGTAATCATATCGTTTTGTCGAATAGAATCTACAAATGAAATATTAGCGCGTTTAAATATACCTCGACGAGAAACAACCAAATGAATTAACGTTCCTCCACGTCTTCCTTTAATCATTTGTATACTTAATTATATTCGAAAACAATCGATATTTTTCGATCAGCACGTGGAAAAAGGTGCCTAAAAATTTTACCGGATACAACAACTATCCTTTTATCTATCTCTTTCTCTTTGTTTGGACCATAGACGTATCATACTTACCACTTAAGTCGAGTCTTTCATTTACAGAGTCAATCAAGCTGGGTTCTCAACCATCCCTGTATATGTTTTGTTTTATTGTTTCCGCACAAGAAAAAAAAAAAAAAGGGAAAGATAAATAAAAACTGAGAAGATGGTATACTATTTAGAGAAAGACAATAAGAAATTAAGGGCACTCAACCAAATGACTCTCTCACTCGGCAAACGGAAAGAACATTTAGTCCTAGGAACGCATTTGGCGAAGTTTGATGGCCACCCTGTACGTCCAATCCCCTCTTCTTGTTCCCTACCACCAAACTCCTTCCTCTTGGAACAAGCTTCCCCCACTTTTCTAACTTTCTTCGCTCGAAACAACCCGATGTTAGATTCTCAGTGCACTCGACGGTACGACGACTACATTCAGTCTGTAATCAAATGCTGTTACAGTGAGATCTCGGCTCGAGAACACTGTCTCCTTCTTTCCCCTTTTTTTTCTCTCTCTTTCTTTTATTTCTATTTTTCCTTTTCTTTCTTAAAATTATATATATATATATAATATATATATATATCTTACATGGAGACACGTTTGAATGTAATCATCGACACGGGGAATAATAAAACGTGAATTAGTGTTGATCCTTGAAGAAAGAAAAGAGAGAAACATCGTCGAATAATAGCAAAGGTAGGAAACGTGAACAGAGATAGAAACCATCGTGGTGATCGATCGAAATTGTCGAGAGTGGAGTACCGCGTGTGGTGGTATGTGCTGTTATTTAATTGCTTTTCGAGCGGAAAGTATCGCGAAGGGTGTTGACCAGGTGTAATTTGGAAAGATCGAAATACGACAATAAACTGTCGTATCACATGAATCGATAAAAGCAAACAAAGTTGGAGTAATCATCAATTGTCATCGTTTAGAGTACGCCGGAAGTTAACCTCTTTACCAGAGACAGAGCGTCTATCGTCCATGGTCGCCATATTTTTCTCTCTATTACTCTTATACTATTAAAGAGGAAAAAGAAATAGAGACAGAAACTACTGCGTAAAACACGAAAGAGAAGCAAAGAAAGTATTAAGTATTACATATCCATATATATATACACACACACACGTATATTTTTATAGAAACGATACGACACACAATTCTTTTATAAACATGGCCGATCCATGAAAAAAAAAAAAAAAGAAGAAGAAATCAGCGGCATTGGGTGTGATGTGTGACTGTATTATAAAAACGCGGGAAATTCAAACGTGTCTTTCATCTTATTTTTCGACAAGAGAGAGAGAGAGAAAGAGAGAGAGGGAGAGAAAAAGGGAGAGAGTCAGCGTGGCCCATTCTCTCTCTCTCCCTTCTCCTTTTCTTCTCGACAAGGCTGGACGATGAGACTTTATCAAACGAAGGACGAATGATATACACGATTATTGCATTGGGAAAATTGGATTTTACATTGGTGGTGTGTTTTATACAAGTATATATTTGATATATATATATATATTGTTTGTGATTAGTGTTGACTTACAAGTGCTATGCGATTGCATCTCATTGAAGATATTACAATTGTTAGAAAAGTGATAAACAGATAGAGAGAGAAGAGATAATGGACGGCCGGCTAAGAGGGTTGTTGGTGCCACTAAAGGCTATTGATGTAAACAACTATAATTCTTCATTTTATTCGCCACCAACCACAGAAGCGTGAGTATATATTTTAAATATAATTTAAAAATATAATTTATCAGAGAGAGAGAGATATATATTTTATTATTTTTCTATTAATTTTGTATATATATTTTGTACGTAACATAATTTATTCATAATATATTTGAAGAACCCTTATCTCGCATAGATATATGTTAAAACGTTGCACTACATGGCCTTGTAATAGTTGCATCAAGTTTATCGATACATACATGCATATTGTTTTTTTTTTTATAGACGTAGATTGAAACATTCGTAGAAGCAATAGCGCAAGTTTCCGGCTTGAATGTATTCCTATCAAAGGATGCTTTTTATCGTGACATAGATTGCAGCGTAAACCGTTTTTAGAGCTGCTGTACTCGTGCTATCAAAATATCTACTATACATACATACATACGTAAGGCATGGATGTATTACGTCATAGGAAGCAAACAAAATAGCTCTACTTACAAACGCATGTTTATTTATTCATATTTTGATTGTCTTAATATGTTAAGTATGAGTAAAAGTTCTATAACAAGCCCGTAATGGCTATGTAAAATACTTTTATTGTTATTAATTCATCATCATCTTGATAAATGGTTTGGAAATTTTATTTTTTTTCGTTCATTTAACAACATTACAAATTTAAACGTTGATAATTTCATGTACGAGTAATGAAAAATCAATACTGTTCAATACGAATGAAAATTGTATTATTAATCAAATTTTATTATTTACTCAAAAAAAAAAGAGATAGAGAAGAATTGGAGGGAAAGTAAATAGGTAGACAAGTCATTTTATTGAAACAGGATTCACACCGGTTTCTCTTTCTTTTCTTTCCTCTTTTGTATCTCGGATATCTCTGATGTGAGAGAATATATTCTATTTTTTGGTAGTGTTCGTTCATTGGTCTGAAGATTAACTTAAAGGGACAATTTTTCTCTTAAATATACATTTTAACGGTAACAATTAAAAATTTGTTCATGAACATATTACAATAATAATCATTGCCAACTAAAATATGAGCATCAAATGTTTTTCAGGCAGCGTACACATGCACATTTTTTTTTTGTATCGTTAACTTTAATCAGTAGTATTCTCTTCAGGAATGTATAAGGTGTGGCTAGGTAAGCCAAAATATTCGCCGAAGAGTTAGATGGTATATCTTAGAGAGGCCGTGACAGTTAAATTAGTAAATCAAGAAATTTTTACGAATCTTATATTAGCATATTCTCAATGCGAAATCACCAGGTAGAAAGACATTACCGCTCCACAAACGTTGAAACATTGCTGATGATAGAAGGTCAAAGTGATTCAAGATACAGGATGAACGAACGGGAATGGATAAAAATAAAACGAAAAGAAGAGAATATGAGAATACCTTGTTTTCATAGTTTTCAACCGTTTTAAGATACCGTAAAACAAACTCAAAATCCTCCCACGCATGTGAAAATGAATGAATGATTAAGCTATAACGATGATTTCGTCGTAAATATACATATGTTCGAATTAACATTCGTGTTTAACAGCTAAACAACTTTACTAACAATAAATAATTCGAATTTTTCTTTATTTTAATAACAGATTAGTATAACAATTTAACTTAAAGCTATAAAAAAAAGATGAATTTTTCTAAAAAAAAATTATGCCGAGTTAATAAACCATAAGTTATAATATTAACTTATATATATTCTATATATTTTAAAATTAATATATTTTAACAGGGCAGTATATTTACGTTAAAATATTGATCCATTTAAGGGGTAATATCTATGTAAATTTTTAAAAAAATTGATTCTTTTTTCCTTTGAAATAAACTTTAAGGACTTAAAAATCAAATGTCATTAACAGAATATTCAAAAATTGATCGTTCTCAAAATGTATAGGCTCCCAATATTGTCCACCACCAATATTGTCTCTCACATATATTATAAGTCAAAACTTTTAATATCTTTTTTATAAATCAAATTTCTTTTTAGTTACACCTGATTTTATTTGAATTTTCTAACGAAAACGCTATTTAAATAGGTGTTACCCCTTAAAAGAAAAGCACAAAAATGTGCTCTAGCAGTAATGAGTACATGAATAAATTAGTATCCCCCCACAAGTTATTTAAATTGAACAAAACAAAATTTACCTAAATTGTAAGGCAGAAAATGAATATAATAATAAAAAAAAAAAGACTTTTTTCGTTGTTGGTTGGCCTTGTTATTCGAAAGAACCATTGAAGAAACGAAATAAAAAATAAAACGTGTCCCGAATATTATTTCAATGAGTTTTTAGTCACTATTTCTAAGTCTTACATTTCGATCATTTTTTTTTTTTATTTAAGAACAGCTTGTTAGAAAAGGCTTATTAAATTCCTCTATGGTTATCTCCAAACTCGACTCGCAACGACGATGTATCATCTCCTTTTTCTCGACGTATATATGATGCGATTGTAAGTTGGCGTGGGAGATACACCATGCTTGTCTATAAACCTCCTAACCTCCTCCGCAACAAAATAATAAAAATACATAGAGTAAAAAATAATGAATTTTGTGTCCAGTATTCCGCATTAGCGAGATAAATAAAAAAGAGAATCTAGAGAAATACAATTTTCTTTAATGATTAATTTTTCTCGATAATAAAATGAAAATTAAGAACGGTTTAATTAACATCTATTGTTTTCTTTTTCTTGTATATTTATATTAAAAGAATCATATACAATTATTTTGTATATAATATAAACATATTTTCTCAACGTGACGCAACTCATTGTCATGAATAGGAATAAGATTAAATACTCTGTCATTATTTTATTTATCCCAACAATTATTCAAAACGATTATTCGAACTATAATATTCATGAAGGTACCGTTAAAAGTTTTTTATATTGATATCTGAAATACAGGAATAGCTTGTGAATAGGTACCGCAACTCCACCTAGTATAATATACATTTTCTTACATACAATATCATCAATTCTTTCTCCCCATGACGAAATTTAATCATTTCAATAAACTTGGAAATAAATGAAACGAAATCCAAATGATAAAATATGTTTTGTGATAGATGCATAACTAAATACATCAAATTATGTTCCCTTTCAGACAGATTCTGTTTTTCTTCTTCTTTTTATCTTCTGTTAGGTTTGTATTTAAAATAAATCAAGTTACGAATTTTGCAAAAGGGGTTGAAGTTCTTTGGAACGAAGGTCGTTACTAAATAAGATGGGTCCAAATATTAGCGAAGGGATAGAAGGACAGCGACCGCTTTTCTATCGTGTTCTAGTTTCGTTTTTTCATTCTTTCACAAATACTGTTTTCATATGATGCTCTGACGATCTTTTTACGCTCGACTGTGTTGAATGTCGACGAGGGCCCAAAAAACCATACATACACAATCTCTCTCCTCTCTCTTTATTTCTTTCGAGCTTGTTGGCATCTGTTCGAGTCAAGGACTCTTAAAGTTCCTTGAAGAATTTAAGTCTGGTTATTATAATACATCGCGATCAATGACCAAGACAGATTAAGATCAAACCCAATAATACAAAATTTGCTTATATTTAGCATTCTCTTTTGTACCCTTTCCCAAATTTTCCAACCCCTTTTTAATATCCCATTTCCTTCCAAACTTTTATAAATTTCACCAATCCGTAAAAATAAAAAAAAGGACAAAAGATGAATTTGGATGTCAGACCTAGATGATTCAGATCTTTACATCTGATATTATTTCGTGAAGAATTTCTTTTCATAATATTTGACTTTCAAAATTATAAATCGTAGGAATGATTGATAACGAGAAAAAACCACTCGAGTATTTAAATGTTGTGGATCAGATTGATATGACAATAAGTAAAAAAAATATTTGTGATTTGATTTAAATGACGGCTAAAGGGAAATCTTTATTTTCATTAGAAAATAAATAAATAAAAGAATTTTTATGCTTAAGAATCAATTTTTAAATATGTACTTTGGATAAATATAAAAATTCAAATACCCTATTTCTTCACATTAATCAAAGTTCCTTTACTGTACTATAGAATAAAATATTTAGTCTGAATATTTGAACTTATTCTAAAATTTAACAAGCGACCTCAAAATTTATGAATCTTTAGGTAAAATTTAATTAAAAATAAAAAACATTTTTCAGATTCATTTTAAAACAGACCAATCTTTGATCAATTATACATTAAACAGTTCACCCTCTATATTACATATAACCAACATAATAAAAATGAATGAGTGATAATATCGAATCGCGAGAGTGATCTTTGACCGTTTCTCGTGACATACATTTACTGACGTCTCATATTTGTAAAAGAAGTTCACCCCTTCGGGTTTATACTTTCACACCATATATCTATTCTATGTGCGCTAAAGGAACTTGACATCGTATCGCATCGTCCTCTCACCCGAATTGCACAAGTCTCGAATCACCCCGTATATTCCCACGCTGGAATTAAAGATTCACGGACGAAACTATCCATCGCACTTGTCATGGGAATGAGCACCGGGTGGGAATTTCTTTTATTCAATACATACACATATTTTCAATCGGTAAAGGAGGTACCTTTAGAAAGAAAAAGATGGAGGGTATATATATATATATATATATACATATATATGCGAAGAGGGATGAAAACTAGTAAGACCCCAAGACTTCCCGCGTTTTTTAGGACTCGCAAAAGGGTCGAAGATATATTCATGTATACGTGAATGTGCGGGCAATAAGCATGTATACATATACGCATATGTTTCTCCCCTCGATGATACTCAACCTGGCTTTTACTACTACCACTAGTATCGTCATCATCACTAGCAACACCACCATACTAACACAAACTAGCATCGATATTTAGAAACGCACGCGTGCGTCATAGGGATGACGGGTGCGAGCGTTTTCTCCTCTTCTTCGTATTTCTACGTGGGGAAATACAACGTCGGTGCGAGTGCATTGGGGCAGGTGGTAGCCAGATGTCTCTTGTAAGGGCTTCCACCCTGGTGTTGTCCTGGTGTTTTCCTCGATGCTTG